CCAACGTTCAGCAATCGTTCAGTAATCAATGCCTCTCGGCAAGTGGAAACCGCCAACTTGTGAAAACCAGATATGGGCGGTTATCAAAATTATGGTCCTTTTTGGGTCCTTATCATGATACGGCACCTATTATTTCGGGTACCCAAAACGGGACCACAGTTTTGACAACTACCCGTATCCTGATCCTGCCCGATCGACTGACCTCAGACTGCTGAGAAGGGGCGAAGGACGGCTGATACCCTGCGGGTATTGTGCTTGTGGCTTGGATGATGTTGCTGTTGCTGGTAGCGGGGGTGCTGCCCCTGCTGGCGATGGTAGGGATAGTGATGGTAATGATGATGCTGATACATGCTGATGACGACAATAACACGAACATGCGGAGTCACCGGCCTGATGCTGACACACGTGAGAAGGGCCCTTCAGAAGGCAAGCAACGAGAACAGTATGTTTCAGGATTGAGCATCATGCCGAACTGTCCAAAACAGCATCATACTCATCACTACCATCATCATAATGAGGAGGATCATCATCGCGTCAACACCATCATCGCCATCCATATCCTCATCATTGTCATCTTGAGCAACATCCCGTGTTCATCCTCACCCTCACCACTGCCACCTCGAGTAGCAGTAAAAGTACCTCGAGCTGTGATGGAAATGATGTAGCAAGAAGGAAAAACGAACAACATCAACAACTGCAGCATGGCAATGTCGAACTCAATAATACTGCTATTGAGATCAGGTGACGACTTGCTATTGTGCAGAGACCTTCGTTTAGACAGCCATACATTGCGAAGCCCCTGTAGCCTGGGCCGTGCCACCCTCAGAAAGAGCAGCAGCGGTTGCAGCGACCTGCAATTAGGGACCTAAACCTCAACCCCTGAACCCCAAACCGACTTTTGTATAGGTTGGGGGATAATTGCCAACGTTCCTCTGACTTAGCCCCCAAATCTGGACTTTCAGAAACAAAGTGTGGAAAGAGCAGCATTCCTAGACCCTAAACTTAAACCCAATGAGCCCGAAAAACACTAGAACGCTGATTCTCGCATTAGGATTGTCGGGGCCTAATTAAGACTTCGAGGGGCTCAGCTGAAGCCGCAAGACTTCAACTGAGGGCCTTCGCTTGGCGGTATTTGGGTTTCGGGCTTAAAGGGCTTATCAGGCTCATATCCAAGGGTAAAAGGAGGGGCCCTTCATAAGGACCTCCTAGGTATATACCCTTGATATAGCTATAATATACCCATTATATAGCCCACTATAGGGTAGGGGTCCCCATTAAGGGTACCTCCTTTTCCCCTTTTGATCATAGGACTTAGGTTCAGGGTTTAAGGATTTATGGGCATGTAGGATCTAGGTTTAGCGGCTGGGAGATCTACTCTCAAAGGTACAAACCTGTACGGATTCATGGTCCCATCTGCGGTCCCACAAGGGTTGATTCGGGTGCCATACTGCTGATGGACAAAATCCTGCATTACTCTTTATAAGGAATATAGCATAGTTCCCATAGTTTAGAGTCCTTAGGGTCATGCAGGATTTCGTCCATCAACAGTATGGTGCCATACGGCTTACGATGGAGCTCTGTAGGGTTCCTGAACCAATACAGTATATACTTTGGCCTTTGTGGGCTTCCTATGTAGGTACTTCAACGCCAACTTTATTACTATCTTGGCGCATGGCCTCTAGGGGGTGTAGATTCCATGATCTCTGAGCCAAAGCTAGCCTGTGTGGAACAAGTCGACTTAAACTCCAAACCCCAGGCTGCAAGACAGCGAAATGAGTTCGCTTAACTCCAGCCTGATCCTTCAAAAGGCGCAGACGGAAGCGGGGCACGCCAAGCCTGAGCATGTCATGCAACCAAGCACCCATAAACCAAACTTGGACATGGGATTCGTTTCATATCGGGCTACCAAACCCCAACACTGGACGGAGGGTGCTAGGACCCTCAAGGGCCCGCGGCACGGTGGGAAAGAGCTGTACAGCTTTAGCTACAGAGTCCGGGTGTCGAAACAGAGGCGTATCTACTTCTTGTGCCGTCTGAATGGCTTCTTCATCCTGTAGAGAAGGCGATCGTGCTAGATTGTGAAAAGACCCCAGAGGGATGATATTGAACAAACAAGTAGCAAACACTTCGGGACTAAAGTTGAAGCCCTGCGATCTTTCAGAATTGCAAACAAAGCATTCAGAACTGAAACGCTCCGCTGCACCATCTCCTTGGAAGTTTGCTTACCCTAAGGCTCCATGTACCCATATAGTATATACTTAGGCCTTAAAGGGGTTCCTATATAGGTACTTTGGGGCCTAAGTGTATACTATATGGCTACATGGAGCCTTTGGGTTATATCTCCGGTGCAGTTCATCTTCCTGTTTTCGTGGCGAAAAACCGAGGAAAACAAAGACGATGCTGGTGCGCTCAAACATGCTCAGGGTAGCCAAATCCAATGGGTTGGACGTGTCAGACAGACAGTCCGCATGACCGATTGCATAAATCCTAAACCCGAAACCCCTAAACAGGGCCCTAAACCCTAAACCCTACACCCCTAAATCCTAAACTCTTAAACAAGCCCTAAACAGACCCTAATAAACCCCGATAAACCCTAAACCACCCCTTCAGGCAGGGCACTTTTTCTCCAACTCCGACCTGATGAATCTAAGGACGCCGTCGGAAGAAGCTGCGGCTTCCTCCAGAACTGCTTCACCTGGGCGCTTAGGGTTCAGGGGCTTGTAGGGGTTTATCGGCAGGTTTAGGGGTTTGGGGTTTAGGGTATAGGGTTGGGGGTTTATATGGGTTTGTAGGGGTTTATAGGGTTTTCAGGTATAGGGTTTAGAGTTGGGGGCTTAGGGTTTTAGGCTTGAGGGGTTTAGGGTTGAGGGGTTTAGGATTGAGGGTTTAGGTCACCCAGGGTGTTGAGGGTTTACATGGGATCCAAAAACCTACTGCTTTAATGGTTATGCTGTCTGATCAAGGGGTCATAACCTACTATCCCGAAGGGTTCGGGGGTTTAGGGTTTGTTTAGGGAAACAAAAAAGACAGACTGACCGGGGCTTCCGGGGTTTGGGGGCTACAGCTTGTAGCGTTTTGGGTTTATAAAGCTTGTAGTGCTGATGAAGCTTAGGGCTGAGAGGGTTCATAGAACTTGGGGATCAGTTTATGATTTTCGTCTGGGAGTTTGATGTTGACAGGTAGCTCTAGGTCTTTGTCGGGCTGAGGAGCACCGAATGATAGCGGGTCTATAAGCTGCGGAGATTGGAGTCTTAGTGCTAATCCCTGACGAGGGCTAAGGGAAAACCCAGGGCTTAAAGAAGGATGCTTCTCTGGGAAAACGGGACAGTCTGTCCCTTAAAGTTGTGTACGACAGACTATCGATGCCAGAATCGCTTGCAAACGAAGCCTCAAGCTCAGGACAACACGAAACCTTACCAAAGGCAGTGAGAAAGCTTCATGGGATGGCCCGAGCGTGAAATCTTGCTTCCTTGCCGGACTCTCGGCTCGAAAGTTTAAACCAAAACTCCCTTGCTCGAAGCATGTTCGGGAGGGATGATGTTAACGCAGACCCTGAATCGTAGGGTCGGCCTTGGCTATCCGGTTGCTGATACAGATCCTGCATTAGCCATAATAAGGAGCACACCATAATTTCCATAGTCAAGGGTCCCTAAGGTAATGCAGGATTCATATCATCAACCGTCCCTTCTCCATTGGCGAGCCCGCTGCATAACAGGTTATTCAAACCACCCGTGCAAACCCCAACAACAAAACCCTGGACAACTTTTTGTTCACAACATACTTCTTTCTCCAGCAAGGAAAACCCCTTTATAAAGCCCCCGCCAAACCCTTTGTACAAACCACTTCAAAAAGTTGCTGCAAACCCCCAGTTCTAAACCCAACACCCTATCAAACCTGACTTCTTTGAGAATTCTACCGGGGGGCTGAAGCTTGCCACTTCTGTCCCCGAGATGGCGAAGACCCGAAGCATGGCGCTCAAGGCTAGGATTCTACAGTTCTGCCGTTTTGAGATTTAAGGCTTGCTGGATCTATTGGGTTTAGGGCTTCCGCGCCTTTGGGTTTTGGGATTTGGGCTTGGGGTTTGTGCAACAGCTGACAGTCTTGGGCTTTTGGGTCTGGAAGGGCTTCGACCGGCCTGCGACTCACACTACCCAGGGGAAAGCACGCACAGGGTTTACGGTTTAGGGGTTTAGGGGTTACGGTTTCGGATATGGAGCATTCCTATTTCTTGCGGGAGTCACTCTCCGCCTCAACACGTTGCAGGTGTTGGGGGGCTACCGCCGAAGCAGCTCTGGGGATGTGAGAGCTTACCCCCGAGGGTCCAAAGGACCCAAAAATTAGGTACTCTGTTGTAGGATAGTAGTTATGTAAGTTAGGAACTATTAGGCACTTGGACCCTTGGGTTTTAAGGCTTGAAGATGCATTCACGGCTGGGGCTTTGCCAGCACTGCCAAACTCGAGGCTCAACATTGCGGTCTTAGCAACTTTCACAGGCAGAGCAGGTTGGCCTGATTAAACTCATTTGGGCAGCAACAGAGCTTACAGGAAAACCATGAGAAGGTCATGATAGATCACACCCAATGAAAGCGATACATCATAGGACTGGTGCCGTGCTGGTTTCAGTTCTGGCAGGATCACCCTCAGCAATAGAATCAATAGAACCATTAACAGCAAATTTGCTGCGAGGTGTATCATTGTAAACTCCGAGAATGGCAAAACAGGGCACAAACAGGACAGCGGTGATGATAAGCATAGTTTTGGTGGTGGTGCTGCTGCTGCCCTTGCTATCGCGATGGAACCTTCACCTTGATCAACATCACGATCTTCATCTGAAGCATCAAGACCACCACCTGATCTTCTATGCCATCAGTTGCATGTGGCGGTATGCTTTGTCCCGACACTCAGGCCGTGTCGGTTGCAAGCTGCACTGGAGGAAGAAGGAGCGACCCTAAGCCCTAAAAGTTATGACACGACTCAGCATGACAGAAAGAAACTATGTCCTCGCGTAAATAATGCCGGTCTTTGAAGAAGTTCACAGTGCGCTCGCGGTAAAACCTCGGCACTGCGGGTTCCGAAGGTCTACAGTTTAGGGGTTTAGGACTTCTGGGTTTAAGGTTTAACTACAGGATTTGATGGTGTAGGGGTGTATAGGGCTTCGAGTGCAAATAAATATTCTTACATACATACTACAGACCGTATGTATATGCTCAGGGTGTGCATTGACCAGTGTAAGCGATACTGACATTGTCCTCACCCTAGCAAAAGACTAACTACAATAGAGACATCACCAAGCGTATCTCAACAATAGCAATGTGTTGATAGCAAGTCATGCTGTGTGGTGGGGATTGCTGTGGATGCACTTTTGATATGGATGGTGATGATCATGACTGCTGCTGTCATGTCCAGAGTCTAGCACTACAGACATAGCAGCAATACTTCAGTAGCTTAAGCCACCGTCTCGTCACTACAGCGAGAACGACGGCAGCGACCACAGCCACGACGGGAACAGCAGTGTAACGAAATCCATAGTGTACCATTAATTTCAAGTAGACAGCAGTACATGCGAATGAACAAAGCCAGTGGCACTGACATAATCTAACATGAAGCGCCTGTGATCACGATAACGAAAAAAAGCACGCCTGCAAAGCAAAAGCAATGCTACGTTCACCAAAGTGGACGACACAAATACTGCCGGCATGGATATTGGTCGTTATTGGTCACGAACAACCCAGTTCAGCAGCATATGCGATCACGTCCTTCATCATCACAACGGTCATTACTCAAGCAAGCATTACCTGCTTCTTGCGATGATGATGAGCATCATCAACATCACGAAATGTCGATATCGCCTTCAGTCACAACAAAGTGAGGAAATCATTATTGCCCCAGCAGATATCTGCCCCCTGGACGGTCCTGCAAGCCATCTGGGGTCTCTCTCTTTTGAAACGATCACGATCGGCTTCATGCGAAGCCAGGGTGAGCAGCTTCACCAAGAGCAACGACGCACCATCCACATGATCATCACCATCGGCATGGCCACCACATTCCTCCGGTTCTTCAACTTCATTGTCATCCACGTATTTTGTGCTGGAGAACCATCACCGTGGTCGTCATACTTACCTACATCACTGCCATGCTTCTCCGGCACCAACATCTTCATCAGACGAATCAACATGAACAGCACTCTCACCATCACCATCAAAACCTTCGCCACCATCGTGGCCATCACGTATGTGACACCATCATCGGAAGTACTGATCATTGGTGGCATCAACAGACGGTAATGACGATGCTAGCGGACGTGGTGGCAGCTGTTGCAAGTTGGATCACCATTCGTCGCTAGTTCTGGTGCACATGCAAGACAATATTTTAACACCTCTTGTAGTATAGGACGGTTCATCAGCAGCACTTCCAGGAGAGAAACAGCCATGCTACTTGCAGTGTTGAGGCTCAATATTCTTCCTTCGTCGCTGCAATAAACCCTAAACCCAAAGCCCAGAACCCTACCAGGTAGCGATGGGGTTTGGGCTTAGGGTTTAGGGCTTACGTGACGGTTTAGGGTTTAAGGCTTAGGGCTTAGCGTGGGCCTATAGGGTTCAGAGTAGGTACATCTCCAAGAACTTCTCTACCCACTTCTCTCGCCGCTCATAGCCTAACAACCTAAGGCAGGTCGTCTGTGGTACACGTGGCGAACACCGCAGTAGCGACCAGGGAAAATCCTGCGACTTGAGATTTAAGAAACGTAAACTTCCGAAAGCTTTCCGATTGTCTCCGTGGACAAACTCTAGGAGCGATCTCAATGAGTGCAGGACCGGATGTGCTAAAGTTTTGCTGGAAGTCCGAAGCAGCCAAACCTAAATTTTCTGCACCCTGAACAACCCTGAGCCCCGAATCTGTGCAGCCACAGCGGCTGGTCCCAGTAGATGCGTGCAGAATCACAGTATCGACGCTGCCACTCCTTTGGTATTTGCATTTTGTATAGTAAGTATGAGTGAATAAGTAAACTATGGGACTTACAGACTTAGTATACCCCTTGAGTGAACATGTATAATCTACAGAATACCCATTAAGCGAACTGAAGGTCTTATAGTGTTTGCCATACGTAAGCTTTGGGAGTTGTAGTATAGTCCTGACGGAATTATGGTTTAGGTTAGGAACCGTGCTGTTCCCCCTTAAATCGGAAAAAGGTAAGAACCATTACTTTCAACGCATGGGGCCGGAAAGCGCACACGCATAAATGTATGTGTGTGTGTGTGTGTGTGTGTGTGTGTGCGTCTGTGTGTGTGTGTGTGTGTTTCTGTCTGTCTGTCCGTCCGTCCGTCTGTCCGTCTGTCTGTCTGTCCGTCTGTGTGTGTGTGTGTGCGCGTGTGTCTGTCTGTGTGCGGGTGCCGCAGTGTCTGTGTGTGTGTGTTTGTGTGTGAGCATGTGTTTGTGTTTCTCTGTGTGTGTGTGTGTGTGCAGGTGCATCTGTGTGTGTGGGCGTGCATTATGTGTGTTTGTGTGTATGTGTATGCGGCATGTGCATATGTGTGTTTTTGTGTCTTTGCATACATGTGTATGTTTGTGTGTGTTTGTTTGCTTGATTGATCGTTTGTTTGTCTGTTCGCTTAAACGCTTGTCTCTCTCTCTCTTTCTCTTTCTTTCTCTCGCCGTCTCTCGTCTGTCTATCTCACTTCACTCTGCACGCGGAGTGGCGCTTCATCACCGGCAGACACGAATTGAGCCACGAATTCTCAAACTCTGACAGTTCCAAATCATTCACTAACCAGTGGTTTTGGGGGTTCCCTTGGCTCTTTAGCTCCTTATTTACTTGGGATTATCATCATCCCTGGCTCCGTAGCTCCCCCAATATCAATGGTTAGTTCACTCCCACATCCTGTCCTCCTCCACTGGCTCCTCGCCGTCTCTTCGCAGGAGCTCCTCCACGGCAGCCACATCTCCAGACTGGCAAAGAGCTGGCTCGATGTTTAATATGATAATATAGGGGCCTCACTAACTAGAATAGGGTTTTGGGGGCCATTATGCTACATAATCAGGAACCCCCCCAAAATGATATAGGTAATCATTACGGCCCACTATATTAAGCTCGAAGGATCTCTTGGTCAGGGCGCGCGGTTGACATGGCTGGCCTCTTAGCCACAAAAGCTTGCAAGGCCTAGCTGCTTCAGGCATACATCTGCGTACAGACTTCGCGGGTACTGTAGGAAGAGGCAGAAACAGCTAGCGATTCGAACTTCGAACAATTGGAAGTTTGGTCTGTGTGGCTTAGGGTTAAAGGCTTGGGGCTTAAGGGTTTTGCATGCAGCCAACAAGCCTTCGCCAGAAGACAATGTCAAACTCGAGCTCAGGGGGTACTGCCGAGTCAAACCCCTCTCATGACACCCTCCGGTCCACCGAAGCCATTCCAACCGTCGAAACTCTCAACCCAAAACCGTGAACCCCTTAGTCCTAAACGCCTGTTCCCTTAAACCCCCTCACCCAAACCCCCAAGCCTAAACCCTGAAACAACCTAAAACCCTGAAGCCTTCTTGGTAGGTCATGACCCCTTAATTACAAGGCATAACCCTTGAAACGGTAGGATTTCGGATACACTTCTATGGATCTATGGGTGGTTGTCAAAATTATGGTCCCTTTTTGGGTCCTAAATATAATACGGCACCTATTCTTAAGGGTACCCCAAAAGGGACCCTAATTTTAACAACCACCCCTATACACCCTGAGCACCTTAAAACCCCTAAAAAACGCCCCACCTCCCCTAAGAAACACCCCCAAAAGAGTATTGGCAACTAATGAGGCCCCTATTATTATGCCCCCTAAAACCCCCAAACCCAAAGGGTCCAAGTATCATTATGGTATATACTTAGAGCCCCCAAAATACCCTGTAAGTCTATACCAGAATGATACTTGGACCTTCTGGGTAGCATAATCCAAAAAACCCTAAACCCTAAACCCTATATAGTCTAGTTGGGTAGCATAATCCGAAACCCTAAACCCTCACACCCTTTGTAGTCTAATTGGGTAGCATAATCCAAAACCCTAAACCCTATATAGTCTAATCCTAAGCCGGGCCTCCTTCGGCCCAGCAGCTGCCTTTGGGAAAAGCCTCTCCTCCCCCGCCTGCAGCGCGCGCAGCGCCGACTCCACCGCCGTCTTCGGCGACTTCTGCGGATCCCGACCTCGCCATCGCGGGGGTTTTTCGAAGATTATAGAGTTGAGAGTGATTAATGACGAAATTTTGTGTTGAGTTTAAGAAGCTATGGTTGAGGGGTGAGGGTTTAGGGTTTGAGAAACTAGAGGGTTTTGGGGTTTTGGGGATACATAAACCTCGTCATCGCGAGGATTATGACGAAATGTGTGTTGGGTTTTCGAAGCTACAGGGTTGAGGGTTTAGGGTGTTGGAAACGAGGGTTGAGGGTTTAGGGTTGGGGGTTTAGGGCTTAGGGTTTTGGAAACGAGGGTTGAGGGTTTAGGGTTTAGGCTGTATGGTTTTAGAGAATATAGGGTTTAGGGTTTTAGAAGCTATAGGGTTGAGGCTATAGTCTAGGGTTTAGTTGCTTTAACAACTAGGCTAGTGTTTTGGACAATATTTTAGCTGAAATAACCCAGAGATCCCAGTACCCGTTAATTAAGGAATATACCTTAAACTATAGGGGCCTTAATATTATGATTTAAGGTATATTCCCTAATTAAGGGGTATTGGGATCTCAAGGAATGCAGGGACTAGCAAGGGGGCGACCTTCTGAGGATTCATCTCCAGAGGGTTCAGCGAAGCGGGGGAGAATACGGCTTGGAGGATAATATACTTCAGTTACAACCAGAGGCCCTATGGAATAGTAGTATAGACTTTACGTACTCCTGCATATATTCTTGTAGGCCATGTAAGTTGAAGGGTGCCGGCGTCCACGGTTAGTGATGCAGTGGGACGGCGGGAGTGGTCAGAACTACGAGTGTGTTCATGCGAGGCTGTCGAACTATCCACCGAGTCATCACCTGACGTCTGCCAAGCTGGCAGAAAGTCGTTCGCTTCCTAGCTTGCGTACAAACTCCTGACATAATACAAAAGTAAAAAGTCAATCAAGCCACATGCCCCAGGATTGGAATTGGAAGTTTACCCACAAGAGACATGAAATTGTAAAGAAGCTACAAATAAACCAGAAAAGACTAGAATACACCAGCACCAGCACCAACACCACCAGCAGCAGCGGCGGCGTCCTCCCCAAACCCTACACCCTAAGCCACTAAATCCTAAGCATGAAAGCGGGCTTGGGTAAGAGAACCTTCCAGATTCTGACAATACCACTGCTTTGCAACTGCACCGATACATGCCAAAAGATTTGGACCTGATACATCTACGAGTGATACAACAATCCGTGAACAGACCGCAACAGCAGTCTCCACTCGAAACCCTAAACACTAAACCAGAGAACAAACCCTAAACCTAAATCGCCAACCCTCTAGCCGCTCTAGCCCCCTAAACACTAAACCGGAGACTAAATCCTAAACCTGCATCGCCAACCATATCGGCCCCCTAAACACTAAACCAGAGAATAAATCCTAAACCTGAATCCTCAACCCTTTAGGCCCCAACCCCCAAAACCTCAAATCCTAAAGAAACACCCAGGCTGGGATCCCATCGCTTCCGAACCATCTCGGAATGTAGGTGCGTCCGCGGGGCCCTGGAGGGCCAATTGAGAAGCTTCGGCACCGCTTTGTCATATGGGTGGTTGTGAAAATTAGGGGGCCTTTTTGGGGATCCTTTCTATACTACGGCACCTAATCTTAAGGGTACCCAAAAGGGACCATAACCCTAAACTCTGCTGATGGACAAAATCATAGCATTACCCATTGTAGGGAATATACCATAATTCCCATAGTTTAGGGTCCTGAAGGTCATGCAGGATTTTGTCCATCAACCGTATGGGTGCTCTACCCTAAGGCCCCAAAGTCGTTCCTTTTTGGGGGTTCAATTTTAGAATCCTATAAGGTAATCCCAAAAAGGAACTACTTTGGGGCCTATGGGTAACGGTTCTCTTGTGTGTGCCGTATGAAGGTACTATAAATAAAGGTTCGACAATACATACTTAATTCAGAAGGGTTCCGGCTTTTAGGGTTTCGGGTTCGCGGGGTTCAGGGTTTTCAGGTCAGATTTTCGCAGCCAGGCGCCGTGAAGCGCGGACGTCGAGGATGTTGGGTCTTTGGTTTGGGACTGTGAAGTTGGGGGTTTGGGGCTTCTGCTTTCTTTAAGGTTTAGGGTTTAGGGGTTTAGGGATTTAGGGGTTTAGGGATCTAGGGGTGTAGGGTTTTGGGTTTAGGGTTTAGGGGTTGAGGGGTTTCAGGGTATCGGGTTGCTGTTCCTCTTGCTTCGTCCTTTGCAAGCACATATCCAGTCTTTCATTCTGCTCGCCCTGTCTTGTTCAGTTCGCAAGAAGCTGGCCAGGGCTGAGGTGAGGACCGGGAACTCGAAGTGGCTTAAAGAAATTGCAGAAGTATGTCCAGCAATGTAAGTGACTCCTTCTTGTACGCCCCACTCCCAATGCCCAGGTCTGACTAATCTTACCTTTGGTTAGTAGGGAATGAAAAAATGGTAGTAGTAGTAGTAGTAGTAGTAGCAGTAGTAGTAGTAGTAGTAGTAGTAGTAGTAGTAGTAGTAGTAGTCGAAGGTTAGTAAACTTCAGCTTCTTGGGCTATAGCCTAGGCCTTCCTTCCACAGCACCGTCTTGCTCCCACAACCCACAACGTCATTACCTCCTGACTGCCACACTTGAAGGTCTTTTGATGAGATTGCTATATATCGCAAACCTAGCTTACCAAAATACCAACCCCTAAACCCTAACCCCTGCCCCTAAAACCCTAAATCCCCAAACCGAAACCCCTGAACCCTATAAACATATGAACCCTTTATACACCACCCCACACCCTGGAGAACATAGACCCCAAACCCTAAGCCCCAAACCAAAAACCCTAGACCCTAAACCCAAAACCCTAGACCCACGACCCTAAAGCCTATTTCTAGACCCGCGACCCTATACCCTGAACTCTAAACCCTATAAACCCTACAAGCCCTATAAGCCCTATACCCTAAACCCTATGTCTCGGCCTCACCTCTTGCCATCGTGAGCCCTGCTTCCCATTCCGCCCTCCCAAGCGGCTTCCACTTCTGAACCGGTGCTCGCGTGGTGCCTGGCAGCACTTTCGGGTTTAGGGGTTTAGGGCGGTTTAAGGTGTAGGGTTTAGGGTTAAGGGGTTTAGGGGTTTGGGGTTTAGGAAGGTTTAGGGTGTAGGAGTAGGGTTTAAGGGTTTTGGGGTTTGGGGTCTCTAAAGAACATCGAGATCGAGTGCGCAACTTGTCATTGTACGTGTGTATAGTGGAAGGCGAGCGGCTTTGGGGAGAATCTCCAGGTGGCGCCCTCAAGCGTTGTGCAACATCGCCACCGCTGCCCTGTAAAGCCTGCAACTCAAAGTAGTAGTCCACTTACCGAAGTTGCAACATTCAGCTGAAGGTTCCACCCGAATGCCGGTATGTTGCCGTCGGGTATCTGAGCTGGTGGCACAGCACAAGCCCGGCTCCCCCAAGGCAGGCCTATTCCCAAAGCGACAACCTCACCAACTTAGTCGGACCCAAACACCAGCATCTCAACAGTTGTGCACAACAGCAGCATGGACCTTGGGTGATCACACGTTCCCACTGTCTGAAGTCCACAACCGACTTTCGAAAACTCCTGATATGGCGGGTTGAAAACACTACCTAATTACACTTTTTTCCTTTTCTATAGCTTATACTATCATGTACACCGCAACCCTATTTGTTGAGGCGCCTATATTACCCTGAACATACAAACACGCCTCCAGCATCACCGCTGCGCCGGCAGTAGGCTACTAGTGGGCCTTGTAGCTCCTTAAAGCTTTAGGGGTTTAGGGTTTAAGGGCTTAGGGCTTTAAGGGTTTAGGGCTTTAAGGGTTTAGGGCTGTAAGGGTTTAGGGGTTTAAGGGCTTAGGGCTTTAAGGGTTTAGGGCTTTAAGGGTTTAGGGAAAAGGGATTAGGGCTTTAAGGGTTTAGGGCTTTAAGGGTTTAGGGAAAAGGGATTAGGGCTTCAAGGGTTTAGGGTTTAAGGGCTTCGGGCTGTAAGGATTTAGGGGTTTAGGGTTCAGGGCTTAAAGGGGGGGTTAGGTTTTAGGGGTGCGAGTAGCGGTTCAGCAGCTCCGAGTCGAGCAGTATTACGGTAAAAGTGATATTTACAGCTTTGATATAGCAGCCTGTATCCCACAACATCAAGAAAACAAAACAAATCACATAGGTTTGTTCAACAGTCTCTATTCAACACTGACCTTTCTGCTAATATTCGATACTGGTATTCATAGTTATTTCTAAAACCAATTCAAAAACCCTTAAGCGGTTTAGGGTTTCGGGTCTAGTAACTATAGTATAGTACCGTTTAGCATCGTATGGTAACGTATAGTATCGTATAGTCTAGTCTAGTAAAGTATCAATAGGGGCAAACGACAACCTGCTGCAACGGCGGGCATTGTACCGATTCTAGCGATTCAAGAGTCATCTCGCTCCGGACGGGAAACTTGAAAGCTTCATTCTCGCAGGTGTGAGGCTATTGGGTCGACTTCAACAGAACGCACGAAACATCTCCCACCATTTGCCGAACGGAGTTCTCCAAATACTTTGCATAACACTTGAGTTCCACACCCTGAAGAACCTTCGAAATGATGCGCTGTTGCGAGCACCGTCACCTGTCACCAACAGCTCGCCAAGCTACTGAGCCCTGAACCCTTAAACCCCTAGGGTTTCCTCAGGGTTTCGGGTTTAGGGCCCCGTCACCCCTCCCCCGGCTGATATGATGCGAAGAGTTCTAAGCTGGCACTGAAGAGCTGGAAGGTAATACAGGGGCCTTAATAAAACAGAAAAGGTTTTGGGGCCCATTATACTATACTTATCATAAGGAACCCCAAAATAGTATAGGTAATTATTAAGGCCCCTATAGTACTCCGAAAGTTGCAAGTCGCCGCGGCGATCTCCCAAAGCCTGACATCCGTTGACAGCGTGAAGTAAACATCACAAAACCCTTGAACTCTCTCCCTTCGACCCATAATCAGCTAAACTACAAACACCATACCCCAGATCTGAACCCAACACCATAAACCCGATATCTTAAACCATAAACCCGATATCTTAAACCCCGAACTTACTGCACGCGGTGTGCCCCCCGAACCTTCTACCCTGAACCATGCGGTCCGAAATCCACTAGCCGAAACCCTAAAACCAGTAATTACCAAGCCCTAGTCCCTAGGCTGTAACTACTATAATATTATATATATATATATATATGTGTATATGTATATATTATTATATATGTACATATCATAGGTCTACGTTGATGTAGATGTATATGTATGTATCCCATGCCCTTCCGCGACTAGGTCCTCGAAGCTTGGCGCGAAAGCCATTCGGCAGGTCTGCGACTTGACTGATTGATTGTTCGTTTCAGCCTTTTTTTGCAGGTTCTCCACTGAACTCTATAGGGTTGATACTAAGCACCCACAAGCAAGTAGGTTAGGGTAGTTTGAGGTTGGGTCTCGGGTTAGAAGGGTCCCCGAGAACTTGGGCAAACTTACTCGGGGACTCAGAAAAAGAAACTTCCTCAGAAAAAAACAACTTTCCGGCTCACACCTTCGAGTCCATGCCTTGTATTCTAGGTATGGGACACTGAGACACCAATTTAGGAGGGCTGCTGTCCGCTCCTTTGCAGTGTGTGAGTGAAGGGGAATGATCAAACCAAGTAACTTCCAGAGTCCCTAATCTCTCTGTCTTGTTTTTCAGATAAGGGCTGAGCTTACAGTTGGGTAGCTGCTGCCATGCAAGTGGCTTCATGCAGCGGCAAGCGGCTGGAAACCGTTTGAGCCAGCGTGAGAGTGGCCTGGCATGCTGGCTAAAGCTGGCGCGCAAAGTGTAACGGTTGATGATAATACAAATCCTGCATTAGCCACAATGAGGAATATACCATAATTTCCAAAGTTTAAGGTCCTTAAGGTAGTGCAGGACATATATCATCGCAAGAAGTAGCATTCTCAACATGTCCCCACGAAACGCCAGGTGCACGTTTAGGACGCTATGGAGTCTCTTCACATTGCATAGACAAGCTAACCACTGACCAGTCTCAGAGTTTCTAGTTCAGTGGGGCGAAGCCTTCCGTGTCCTGTCTCTTGCTAAGGCTCAAGAGGTGAAGTTAAAATCCTGTCCATGGATGATAAAGTATGGGCTAGAAAGCGGTTATGGGGGATACAACGTACTTCGAGGCTTCAAGAAGAAACCCCGAAGATTAACATCTCTCGTCCTTCACTCTTGCACATGAACTCACTGCATGCGCCACCGCGTTTTCCCACTTGGCGGGCTTTTGACTGTTGCTTTGGAAACTTCCGAGTCGCAAAGCCTGGCCCGTAACAGACAGCTTGCTTTTACAATGCCCAAAAAATGCTGCAGTCCTGTACCTAAGCCTTGCACCCTAAGCCGTGTGAGGCCTATGAGCTCCGTTTATAGGGCTTCTGCGCAAAAGTCTCGGGTGTAGGGTTTGGGGAAGTTTAGATGCGCTGATCGTGCACGTATCGGCCCGTTACAATAGGCTTCTCTTGGAGGTCGACCTATGGTTGAAGATGTCTGGGACTAGACTTAGACCAGATCGGCGATCTTTGGACTAAGAGACCAGATTACATAGCACCTGAATCATCAGTAATAACTGTCACTTAAGTTGGGTATTATAGGTCCACTACAGTACCCTCCCAAACCCTATTCTATCTTAAGGTCTCTACACAAAACCCATGCAGTACCCCCTGTATTAGCCCTTAATGGAACCTTCACAAGAAGCTTACAAGTCTCAAAGCTATTCCAGCTTTTTGGCCCCTAAAAAACATCCGATGCCATGGCACCTCTTGAACAGACCGTCACGAGCAGCCCTTCTGCAAGACAAGCCCTGAGGCCCCTACTGCCTCACAGGCCTGCAAGAGCAGGGGTACCCTAAGGTTTAGGGGAGAGGGTGCATGCACCCAATAGTATATATTTTGGCCTTGATTTAGTGGCAGACGATCAAGAACTATGAAACAACGATGACTTCCTAAGCTCTTCTCATTTTCTGAAGATTCCAGGATTTCCGCGTGCACTGGCCCCCAGCCTATTTTTTCGCCAACCGATGAGACACCATGAACACATAATATTACAGTGATGCAACAATGATGAGGAACTGAATGTTTCCTGAGGCTCTAGCTCTCCTCATTTTTCGAACACGTGCAGGATCCCCAAGCGCCGTTTCCTGCACTTTTCAGAAAAACGATGAACAAATGATGATCATATGCTGAAAAAATGGTAATGAACACGATACTCGACAATGACAAAAGCGATGATGAAATTGTATATGATGACGGTCATCTGAACCATGAAAGAAAATGCAGAACGGTCCCTTTCCGGAAGAAATCTCATAATCCCAAACCCCAATCGCTGAACCGCAAACGCCAAGCCCTAAAGACCTAATATATGGGGCCTAAACAATTGCCAATACTATGTTGGTGGTCCCTGATTATAACTCCGGTAATGTATCCCAAACCCTATTCTAATTATTAATGCCCCTATACCCCAACTTATTGACCCCTTATAGAACCCTTTATACGAACCCAATTAGATTATTACGGCCCCTACAGTAGAACCTTGTAGATCCCTTATAGAACTTTTTACGGATCCCTTTCAAGGAACCCCCAAAGCCACATTCTAATGATTAAGGCCACTACATCCTCAAATCCCTTAAAATACCCGTATAGTATCCCTTTGAAGGAACCCCAAAAACCCTGTGTAGCCCCAAATCCCTTGTAGCACCCTCAGTTATAATAGCCCTTACAGTAGCCCTTATAAACCACTGTTTAAAGGAGCTCCTATTCCAATTAGTAAGACCCCTTAATCCCTAAATGTACTTAAAAAGCCATTATAGAACCCTTCAAGCACCCCCCCCCCCAAAAAAAAAAAACAAAAAACTATTTCAACCATTAAGGCCCCTATAGAAATCCGGGCGAGGCATTGCTGAAACTCCGGTGAGACGAAGTCGAGGCAACTCTGGGCTGTGCTCGGCTACATTACCACGGGGGGGACCTTAAGGTTTAGGGTGTAGGGTGTTAGGTTTCGGGTTTCGGGTTTTAGGTTTCGGGTTTAAGGTTTAAAGTTTAACGTCTAGGGATTAGGGTTTTTGAGGGTCGAAGGTTCAAAGTTTAGGGTTTAGGGTCTATAGTTTAGGTTAGGTTTGAGCTTAGGGTTTTGGGCTTCGGGTTTAGGGCTTAAGGTTTAGAGTTTAGGGGTTAAGGTTTAGGGTTTGGGGGTTTAAGGTTTAGGGTTTCTAGCTTTAGGGTTGAATGTTTAGGGTTTAGAGGGGCCGAAACACGACAGCCCGAGCATTTTGCGGAGAAGCCCAGAGCAAACTCAGCAGTGAGGCTTCTCGAGCACCTGGGGCTTTGGACATCGAGGGTTTAGGGTTTGGCTGTAGGGTTCCTTTAAAGGGATTCTAGAAGGGATCTATAAGGGCTTTAGGGTGTAGGGTTGAGGGTTTAGTTTAGGGTTTCTTTGGCCATTGGGGTCCTTGCAGTAGATGTTCTGGGTTGATGTTCCCATAAGGCCTGAATCAAGCGGTATTTATTTCAGGTACATTACTTCATTACGGGGCCTGTCTGGGTTGATGACCAATCGGGTTCCCGCCGTGGTCAAATTCGTGTTTCAACATCATCGGGCATAGGGCATTGTCATCCACAGCGCTGCAGCAATCCCAGCAGTTTAGTGCTTAGGTTCTTAGGATATCCTGAACGCCTCCATCACCCTGCAGAAGCAAGTCAAACCACCGAGATGCAAACAACAATCAAGGGAGCCTAATATCAGGATTCCTGATCTAACGACCACTGAAACTTGGAGCCCGAATCTGAATCGGAAAGGAATCCGCGATCTTTCTTCTGCAGACTACCCCGCCTCTTTTGGAAAGCATTGCGCAGAACACACAACTTGACCTTAGCCCGCTCGGCCCTGGCCCACTCCTTTCCTCCTGTCAAGGGCTCTAGAATGTTGACTTCCGAAACACCAAAGCCCTCTGCAATCTCACGTGCCGTATACCCATGCTCAACCACGTCCGTCAAAACCATTCAACAATCCCAGAGGACAAGCAACAGCGCACGTAATGGCAGCTTGCCAGAGCAAACCCTAAGTTCCGATGACCCGAAACCCAGACCTTAGTTTCTTGACCCCGACCACACCTCATCCTAGCCTCTCCGCATGACAGAGGCCATTTTCGCACGCTCCTGCACCGCAACTACTGGCGGCGGCTGAATGCGTGCCGATGCCTATGATCTAGTAGCCCAGAAGCATCAGGGTTACAAGCTTACAAGCCTTAGGGTTCAGAAGATGTTCAGTGCTTAGTGACATCCTGTCGTCGAGTTCGTGAGGACGGCAAAAAGAGTCACAGAAAGAAAGCCCCTTCAGAATGCTCGTTTGCGGGCAGCACTAGGAATTTCTGCTAGGAGCTTCAGTGAGTCCCGCTGTTTAGGATTCAAGGAGTCTGTTGCCCACAGGGTCCCAGGTACTGCTTACTGTTATGGGGGATACTTTCCAAATCATAATCGTAATTCCCAAACTAGAAACCCTACATTCTACTATGTAGGCCCTTTTTGGGACCCTTTGGGTTAGGAAATGGGTTCCGTGGGTCACTTCTGGACCAGGGCATTGGTCGACCCGTTGCAGCAGAGCAAGAGCTAAAACTAGAACTTGCGTCAGTTGGTTCTGGAGGTCCCAACGTAGTTTCACGGGCACACCTGCAGAATGACTTCTGCATGAATGCAGACCTCAAACACGCTAGGTAATCTATACCAAGCCCGCCACCTTGGATCCCAGACTACATGCCCCGTTACATAAGGTACCGGCGAGTCGTAAACACTACAGCTTCTAGAAATATGACCTTCTCCATGTTGAGGAGCAGCCGCTTCACCTGCAGGATGATGAGATTCCTCCGCCGCAGTTCAGGTTTCAGGACGAAGCACGGCTCATCAATCTTGGCCAAAGGGTCCTAGGTACTGTTAAGTTATCGGGGATACTTCCCCAAATCAGAATAGTAATTGCAAACGTGGAAACCCTACATTCTGCTGTACAGGTACGTTGGACCCCTAGGGTAGAACCCTTAGCCTCTCCACATGGATCTTGAACAGTCCATGTGTTGGTTACTATTTGTGTTGCACATACTGTGTTCCAAAAAAACAACCTATGGTTTGTGTGTCTGAGATCTAGCTTTACGCAGAAATGCTCACTTATCCGAAAGACTTCAGCATCGACATGAAAACTATCTTGTCTCACTTGAAGTCATGCTGGTATCCGTATTCAAGTCAAACCAATACCCGCAGATATATGGCGGTAGCTGAGACGAGTAGGATGCTTGCCATCCGGATCAACTCTACTTCTGTGGAACTGCTGCCGTGGGGTCCTGCGCCAAAACGGCATTTCGCATCACTTGAACCCGGGAGTGTCTAGCATGTGCTTTGGTATTGACGATGTATGTCAATGTATGTGTCCCAAGCAGTTGCCCGCGCCTTTCAAGAGGTAAGTAAGATCCTGAAAAGCAAGCTACATGAACTCGACTATCCTACACTCTAGAATGGTTAAAAACTGCCAAAAAAACAAAGCCCCAGGGCAGTCTTCAGACCCCAGCCCGAATGAATGGACGATGGGATGGGACAGGGGCACAACTCCTGTCGCAGGCCCGAAAGTGCGATTCGTCCGTAGCACCTGGGCCGGAAGTCGCACTTGTGTTTTTTGGAATACCGCTAGGCCTCTAGAAACTTACGGAGTCTAAATTCAGGCCACGTGTGGGCTCGCGAAGCTTCAGCGTCCGGAGGTATGTGTGTTTGCTCTCACGCCGTTCCCTCCGATGTACCTGCGTTGGCACCACTTGTTTGCTGTCTTGCAGCATTGGGCGCGAACACACTCACACACACTCTCTCTCTCTCTCTCTCTCTCGCTGTCTCCGTCGTCCTTCCCTCCTTCTTGTTCGCGTCCTTCTGCATCTCCGTACATGTGAGACCAAGCCAAGATTCTGCGACGAGTCAGGCTCTTCTCGCTCGCTCGCACACTTCCCAATTGTTCTTTCTTGTTCCATTTAGCACCAGGCATCCCCGGTGAGTGAGCCATGTGTGTGTGTGTGTGTGTCTGCTTTGTCAGAATCGGAACCGATGAACACCCACTCATGCCTTGCAGTCTCCAACCCAAACTTTAAGCCCTGGGCCTTAAGCCTAAAGTTCTAATAGTCCTACCAGACAATGTCATAGAGCCCCTTAAGACTCATGACACAGTTGAGTACGGTTTAAGGTCCACAAACCGAGATGAACAGGTTATCAGGTACTCAGGGGTCCTTACCATCGTAAAGCTTACCTAACGGGAGCCCTGCCATAGAAGAAGCCGCTGTGATTCTATGGAAAACATAATAACGAACATGCCTCCATTGTATAGGGGTTCGGCGAGATTGCTGGTACTTCTGATGACCTCTACGTACTTAGATACCCGTTGTATGCTTCAAGAACGGACACATGCGACATACAGCTATAGATATACCTTATCTACCCGTGTAAACCTGAACAACCGAATGTATCGACAGCCCCTTAAAAATCTGAAGCTATAGACTTGAGTTACAGTGCGACACCAACGTCCACTGCAGCTAAACCCATAAACCCCTCAATGCAGCTTGGATACTTTCCTCGGCCATGAGCCAGGGAAGCGACGGCAACTCCACAGCTGTGGAGCCAAGCTCCTCGTCCTTTAGGGTTTAGGACTTGTAGGGTTTAGAGTTTAGGGTTTAGCATCGAGACATTTGTTTGAGGCTTCTTCTGCCCCACTACTTTGGCTCTGTGTTAGGGCACTTATAGAGTTCTCAAACTCTCATATGACTCAGTTATTAGGGCTTGTTGGTTTGTGTTTCTTGTGCAGGTGCTTGGTGGTACTGTGGGTTTCAGCACTCCGCAGGCAGGATTGCCATGGCTTGGAGTCTGATGATGTTAACTTAGGCTCGAGATGAGTGGAGGGTAGAAAGTGCTTCAGGTTCAGGGTGCCTCGTGCTTGCCGCATCGTTTCGGGTTTCCTGATCTTGGCCGAGTTTAGCGTTCAGGGCCAGGGTGTAGAGTATTCAGGGCTTTGAAAGAAGACAAGGCTTGCCCTGCAATTCGAAGGGTCACCCGTCCTTTTATGGACTTTCATACCGAAGTCAGAATAAAGAAATCCTTAAAATCTTAAAAAAAGCAGGTTCTTTGGGGTCCAGTTGAGCCTGATAGTCCAAACGTACGAGGGCAATGCAAACAAGAACTTTTCAGGGATCCCAATTCCCCTTACTTAAGGAATCTACCTTTAAACTACAGGGGGCTTAATATTATGGTCTAAGGTATATTAAGGGGTATTGGGATCTCAAAGATACCACTCCCTAAACCCTGCACCCTAAATCCTAAACCCTACACCCTACACCCGAAATCCTAAACCCCCAAACCCCAAGACCATCCCCTATAGCTATTACCCCCCTTAGAACCATAACAAAAATACTAGTTTCAATATTCTCTTGGGTTTGATATGAACAAAAATAAAAGTCCTAAGGATACTATAGATAACCCCATGAACCCTAAACCCTACACCCTGGATCCTAAACCCTCAACCCCTAAACCCAAAACCCCTAAACCCCTCAACCCTGTATCTCAAGGTTTTCTCTCGCTCGCCATCTGCTCGCATACTCGAGGATCTTTGCCTGGCAGCTTAGGATTTCGGGAGTTTCCGAAAAGAGGGGACCCTAAGGTTCCTTTGAAGGGTTCCTTAAAGGGATCTATAAGGTTTCTACAAAGGGATTAGGGTTTACGGAGTTTCCGAAAATAGGGGACCAAAAATCTACTACCCCAAATAGTAGGATCCTGACTATACGGACCCCCAAATAAGGTACCGCTAATTTGCCCAGACTCCCTGTTGTGTTCGTGCAGCGAAGGATTTGACACCAGAGATTGCGGCGTTCGGGAAGGGACCAGGATCACAGGAATGGAGTTGTAGAGTTTGCAAAACTATTTGAGTGTCGAACCTTGCACACGCACGCTCGAAATATGTGCTCTGGCATTGGGGCTACCTCAGGTCGCCAGGGGTGCTTGGCTGTGGCAAAGACGCCGAAACGCCTCCATCAATCAACGACTTAGTTTACCCTAGGGCTCCAGTTACCTAAATAGCAGGTTACTGGGGTACGTAATATGTGGTTGGCAACCTACGACGTAGGTAGCTGGAGCCCTAGGCTTGAGGTTCCATTAATTTAGGGTTCCGGCGTTGGGAAGTTCTGGGTTTAAGGTTTGGGCGGCTGCTTTCGGATCCGGAAACCGCAACTAAGCCAGGGCGGTCAGGAGAGGTTCGGTACCCCAGGCTACTAGGCCTCTGGTCCAAGTAATTACAGAGGGTTTAGGATATAGGGGGTTAGGGGTTTAGTGTATGAGCCTTCTGCAGAACCAGCTTCTGCCCAAAACTTTCCACAATCTATGTTTCTTGACAGTCGTCTCATCCAGAAGCGCCCTAAGCCCTACAGCCTAAACTCCCGATGGCTCATCGGCCCCAAACCTCAACTCCCCAAGTCCTGCACACCTAAACCCCAAGCTTTGACACCCGCCCTTATATTCAGCCAGACGGGAGCTTAGGAAGCGGTAGAGGCCTCGAATCCAAGCCGATCTCTTTGCTGCCTGGCCGAGATCTCCATCTCTCGCGTTCACAGCTTTGGGCTTCTTGGTTTCGGGTCTGCAAAAATAGACTGGGGATGTTCCACCACCTTTTGCTCCCAAAGTCCTCTGACGTCTTGTATGGCTCTCTTAGGCTTTCTTGTCAGTAAGAATAAGACCTCTCGTCCGGACGGACGGACAGAGAGATACATAGGTATATACCTGCATCTATACATAGATATATCCATGCAAGAATGCGTGCACACGTACAGACTGATATGTGTGTATATATATATATATATGTATATATACACACATATGTATTTATGTATGCATGCATGCATGCATATCTATACACTCGTATATCTATATCTATACCTATATCTATATCTATATCTATATCTATATATATATATATATATACATACATACACACACATATCGTATAAACATACCCTGAACCTCCGTCCTAGCTGCCCCGAACAGCGGCCTCCTCCACTGACAGCTCGACGGCAGTCGGCTGCGAAGCATTGGCCGTCTGCCTCCGGAAACGACATCGATCTTCCAAGGCTTTTCGTAGGGCGTTTCAGCTGTAGAGGCTAAGTGTCTAGGGTCGAGGGTTCAGGATTCAGGGTTGGGGTTTTAGGGGTTCGGGGTTTACGGTTTAGGGTTTAGGGTTTAGCAACTTCGGGTCTTCGGATACCACGGGCTTCGGGGATTTAAGAACTCAGACTTCTGGTCTGGTGGGTGCAGGGCGGACTTCAGGGGCGTTCTGCCCTAAGCCCTATAACTAAACCCTACCCCGACCCTAAAAGAACCTACCTTTTTAGGATTCCTTCTTATGGTTTCCTTATATAATGTCCTTGAAAAGGTAGGTTATTTGGGGTTAAGGTAATAGCCGACATGCTAACTCACCCTAAGGCCGGAGGCCTAGGACCCCGATCCCCTTGTGGAGACGAAATGACATGTTTTCTTCTCAGGTAAACCTTAGGTACGGCCCCCGTACAGAAAGAGCCTATAATAGGGCTACTATTAAGGTCCTACTATATCTATATTATGCATATGATTCAACTATTGCTGGGTGGGGGGCCGTACCCAAGATAAACCCTTAACATAACTGAACACTTGAAGAATCCGTGGCCTTAACCCTAAACGCCAACAGAACCCCACAAGACCCAACCCTAAACCCTAATCCTCAAGCCTGCTGTCTGAGAACCCACGAAAAATTGCCAGGTCCGCTGGAGATCAGGGGTATACCCTACACCTTAAACCCAAAAACTTTGAATCCTAATTCCCAAGCCCTAAACCACATGCCCCAATCCCTTATTCCCGAGCCATATACCCTAAACCTTCAGTAATTGACCTAAACCTTTAAAACATATACCCTATAATTCGAACCCTGAGGGAAGCCATACATCAAAAATATACTCTAAACCCTAAGCCCTACCCATATACCCACCTTCACCCGGAATAACCTACCTTACTAAGGACTTATACAAGGAAATCATATTGGGGAACCCTAAAAAGGTAGGTTTTTTGGGGTCCAGGCAACAGCAAAGCTACCGAAACCCATAAGCCCCGGCCTTCTCGTGATAACAAGGCTAGGCAAGGCGGCGTTCCTCAATCGACGTCCATCTGTGTTGTTGTCTGCGTCTGCTTTGCGTGCCTTGTCTCTCGTGTGTAGGTGTGTGGGTGTCCGGACGTGTGTGAATGCTTTGCTGATGAGAGAGAGAGAGAGAGAGAGAGAGAGATATGAATATATATATATATGTGTACAGAGTCTATAGAGACGGAGGTAGAGATAGATATGGAGATGGAGAGATACAGCTAGAGAGACAGAGAGAGGGAGAGGGAGAGAGAGAGAGAGACAGAGAGTAAGAAAGAGAGACCGAGAGAGAGGCAGACTGTCTGTCTGTCTGTCCGTCTGTCTGTCTTTGTGGGTGTGGCGTTTCGTTGCGTTGCATGCTTTTGTTTGTGTACTCAGCTTGTAAGGGCCTTCGTGCTGCGCTTGGCTGCTATGTGTGTCTGCATGGGTGTTCTGGTTGGTGCGTAGGCTTCAGGATTTCGGGAATTGGTAATTATTCAGGCTTCGTATGGTATAGTGTCTAGGCTAGGATTTAAGCGTAAGGGCTGCGAGCTTAACGGTTCGTTTATGTGGCACCATGGGTTTCGGGCTGCCCTGTGGACGCTGTGGCCGTGACGCTATTGCCCTAAACCTCCCAAAGGGTCCAAGTATCACTATGGTATGTACTTAGACCCGCAAAACACCCTGTAAGTATATACCAGAATGATACTTGGACCCTTTGGGCCTTAAACCCTCAAAAAGCCACATGCCGTGTGTGGCGAGCCGGAAGTCGAAATCTTGAAAACCCGACCCACGAGGCCAGCCATCATCAAAACGCAATCTATCTACAGCCCAATAAAACAGGGGCCTTCAAGGTTGGAACAGCTCTACAGTATGGGTTCTTGATGCTTTATAATCCGTTCCCCCTCATATCAAACGGGGGGCCTCCCCCAAAAGAAATTCGGAACCTGTTTTTAGTAGTAGGGTATATGTTTATCTCTCCTTCACTTTTGAGGGCTCTTGCTCTTGCTCCTCCGCAGGCTTTTGCTTCTGCTCCCGCTGTGTCGCTTGCTCTCGCTCCTTAGCCTGCTGTTGCTTTTGCTGTTGCCCCTGCTCTTCCTCCTGCGCTACTCTTGCCCCTAAACCCTAAACCCTAAACTCTGGCTCTTGCCTTTGCTCTTGCTCCGGGCCCGATTCGCCCCAATGTGTGTTGATTACTAGGAGGGTGTTTAATGAGAGGGGCCTATACTATTTTGGGGGTTCCTTCTTGTAACTATGGCATAATGTTAGACGGGTGTTTAATCAGAGGGGCAAGTGATTAGGGTTCTACCCTGCGCTTATACAAGGGTAGCAAACAGGGTATTTTTAACCCTACACTCACCCGAAACCTTGAAGCCTAGGCCGAAACCATACACCCTGAACTTCCCTAAACTCTGAACCACTGGCATTCCTGAACCGCATATTTGAGGAACCTTTATAACTACCTATATTATTTTTTTTTTTTTTTTGGGGGGGGGGGGGGGGGGGTCCTTCTTATAACTATGGCATAATGTACCCCAAAACTCTTGGCTATTTATGAAGGCCCCTATACGATCTAGGTTACATGAGGCTTCTGTCAAGGTAATGTGCAGTCCATTTTGCCGCCGGAATCGGGCCCATGACTTCACCAGGGGTCGTTGACGTGTGGTGATGGCGGTCTCTGCGGGGGATCATCGCTCCTTCAGTTCTGGGCCAGAGCCGTGGTCCACAGGAGAGGCGCCAACTTGCAGCCCTGCCGTAGGCCTTGCTGTGCACAGACCTCCGTCACTAGGAAGCGCTTCCCCGCATTCTGGAGCACATGCCCCTTGTCCCTCTGCCGACGGTGCGACTTGTCATGCAAAATGATCGATGTCGTTGCTTTCGGAAGCACATGTCCGTTGTCCCTCCGCCGTCGCTGACGGTGCGACTTGTCATGCAAAATGACCGATGTCTTTGCTTTCGGCAATTAATGACCCCTTGTGGAACGCTTTATAAGAACCTTTTCAAGGAACCCTAGTCGAATTATCAAGGCCCCTCTATTATCCTGACTCGAATGCCAGCCGCGGTGCAAGGCTAGGCGCTTCCGATGCAGGAAGCCTCGGAAAAGGGCTTAGTGATCATCTACGACTTTAGGGTATAGGGTTTATGGTTTAGGGTATCTACGATGTGATGATGAAGTACACTATTTCAGGTTTGGGGTTTAGGGTTTATACTATTACAGGTTTGGGGTTTAAGGTTTATAACATACTGCTATGCACCATAATTTGGCATGCTATATCATATGTACCATAATCAGCTACTTAGTCATATGGTTCTACCCTGACCCCGTTGCCTAGACATGCCTCGGCCTGGTTTCAAGCCGAGACCCCAAAACCCAAGGATTGCCTAAAACGGTTTCAGGCCGCAGAGGTTTAGGGTTTAAGGTTTAGGGGGGTTATGGTTTGAAGTGGCTCTTTCGAAACAAAGCTATTGAAAAATAGTTCGCAAATAAGATCTTCTACGGCGCATAAGGGAAGATGTAGAATGTCTTCGAAGACCTACCTAGTTCTCCTTAACACGGTATGATGCTTCCCGGCACGCCACTTACCTCTCTAATCGTAAACTGCGAGTGGCTGGATGTGGCTGGGATGTTGAGAGTGGTGAGCCTGTCGGGCAATATCAGGGCCTGAATAATTGGAATACGGTTTGGGGGGTACAGAAGTCTACTGAGGCAGTAATTAAGGGGGATGCTGCCGGCACTCATCCCTATATTCATTGAAATGGAGTGGAATTCTATCAAGGCACAATTGGCTATAGGGGGATGCGGTACCCATTGCAACCTCTCTTGAAGTGGGCCACCAAAGATCAGGATAAGGTCGGCAAGTTCCCTCTCTGTAAACCTCAAGCTGCAAACTACAAACCCGACCTTCTACCCCTACAGCTTAGAACCTTCGCCCCTGAAACCTTTCCTAAGGCAGTAAGACATAAACCTCCGGAACGACGTTGGCTCAAGACCGCTGTATAACCCAACCTTGCAAAAAAAAAAAACTAAACGTCCCACACCGTCAGGCCCTCGCCTTTGGGCAACCGTCGGAGTGTGTGCAGGACGCGCAAAGCAGCGGCCGACGTGTTGACCTTAGACTTACTTACACTATTTCCTGGCACCTTAATGGTAGCTTGCCTAATTGAACCAAGCGCTCAAGGACCTAATCCTAGTTACTAAGCATACCCAAAGACTAACATACCTCAGTACTCTATTACCCAAGCACCTAACTTTCCGAAAACCCTAAACCCAACACACTAAACCTTAACCCCCAATTTGGCCCCTTCGGGGTATGTAGGATCCGTGGGGTCCCAGGTGCTGGACTCTTGGCCCTTTGAATTCGGGGCTAAGGGTTTTGGGAGCTTCCGGGATTAGGATTTTGAGTGTTGGGGGTTTGGGGTTTAAGGTTTAGGGCTCAGGGTTTGGGGTTTAGGGAAAGCTGTGGGTTGCTTTGTTGGCTTGCAAGTTCCGGATTTGCACGTCTGGGCCAGACTGTGCATGCCAGACATGCCGGGGTCTGAACGAATTCCATTGCCCTCATTGATCTGCAAAGCTAGGTTTAACTGCTCATGGATCTGGCGAAAAGGTGACAAGCTCCGTGCAACTACAACTTGCTGATAATGGCGCTACCATATCTATGATCATTGTTGCGACTCGCAGCCGAATCATCCTGGTATTTTGAGCTTCCTGTTCAGCAGGTATAGGTCGAACGGTTTAGGACTTGACTTGCCTCGCCAAATCAGGAGCAATATGAAGTCAACACGGAAGACCACAAGAATGGGGAAACCACCTCGTTATATCCGACACCCGCGTATGGCATCAAAACCACTTGTATCTCCACTTCTTGCATCCACCGCCGTCCATTTAAAGCGGCGAGAACCGTTTCAAGAAAACCCTAAACCCTAAACCCTAAACCCTCATCGCAATTAGACCCCAAGCCCGCAACTCATGACCTGGAGCTTCTGAGGCCTAGAACGTTCATTCCAAACCCGGAGCCCTTAACCCCTACACCCTATAACCTAAATGTACTTAAAGTCACTCCCTATTTGCAAAAGATATTCGTATAGGGACGGCTACGGGTCCGTAGCTGTATCCTTCGATCATCTCATCGGCTCTCTTACAAGGTTAGGCTTTATAGGTTTGGGGCGAATCAAATGGCTGGTGCTTCCTAGCCGCGCCATGGAAGAAAAGGCTGAAGTCCACCCAGGAAATCTGCAGGGAGTCAGCCGTTCTTCGGGTTTTGAGTTCCGCCTTTAGTCTCACACGTTTCGGCTATTGTTTTTTATGGCTGCATGGTTGCAATCCTATCCTAAGGCTCCTAAGAGGGTCTTGGGCTTTCTGGGGGAGAGTTTCGGCTTTGGGGGCGAGGGTTCGGGATCCCCACTACGTGGGTCCAGGAGCCTTAGGGAAATGCTTAGTCAACCCAAGCAAAAGGAAGTACGGGGAGACTCTTTAGGGCCCTTGCCATGAAGTCGAAGGTGTCGAGAGGCTGGGTTTAGGGTTTAGGGTTTCGGGGTTTAGGGTTTAGGGGTTTAGGGTTTAGGGTTTAGGGTGGTTCTTCTGGAGTTGGGGTTGAGCTGAGCTCTGATATGCGACAAGGTGACACGGAAAAGAAGATAGAAGTCGTGTTCATCATAGCGCATCATAAGCCAGCAGTAGGAAGTGAATAGGCAAGCATTGTGCTGATGAAACGGCTGATGATGACGAAGACACTCCTTGAAGATGATGGCGCTGAGCCAGTAGCGCTATGGCCAGTATCCCAACGAAGGATTGCCACCTGAAGAGCCCTTAGAGTTGAATGTGCCGAAGCTCCTATGGGCCAATGGGTCCTTCACTCAAAAGCAATCTCGGAAGAACGTCTCACAAATTGCTTTGCTTTCCAACACTTCGTCCGGCCGGAGAGTACCGAGAGTCGGCCTCTTTGGGTGTTGACGTTTGTAAAGCCTAGGGGCTGTAGACCTGAGGGCTTCGAGGTCTGGGTCTGTCTGGGCTTTAAGAGTGAGGAAAAGCCACGAAATCAATCCCTCATTAAGAACGGTAAAACCTGAGAGAAACTAACTAGTTGTTTCCTGCGTATACTCTCGCTCGATGACTCCAATGACACCACTGCCGCTAAGTCTGTAGCAGAGTGCAAAACAGTCATGACCTGCGTAGCCCGAACTGCCAGGGGAAACTGCAACACTAGACCCTAAACCCCTAAACCCTAAACACAACCCCTAAACCCTAAACACAACCCTAAACTGCTAAACCCTAATTCTTTTACAGCCTGATCTGCAAAGGGCAGCAACGGCCAAAGCCCCGGAGAGCGAGCACTGGCAAAGGCTGGCAAGCATCCCCAGCTCATGGCCTTCGTCTGTCTGGGTTTTTTTGCCTTAGGGATTCCCTTTAAAGGGAACTAAAAGGGTTCCTAAAGGGATCTACAAGGGTTCCTTGGGTTTGGGGTTTACTGTCTGGTGCTTAGTAGGGAATGGGGGAATGGATTATGGAGACTACTGTTGGGGATTACAGATGGACGGCGAGTTCTCGTGGCTTTTGCGTCTATGGGCTTCATAGCGCTTTTCTGTTTTGCCATGTGTGGCTATTTGACTACTTGAGCCTCCAGGCTCGACTGGTAGTAAAATTAATAAAGTAGTGTTTTATGATAGAACATAGCAAGAGACTAATATAACATACATATACTGGTAAAACTGTAATATCCATAAGACCTGGTCAGTAGGTCAACAAAAAGTTTTCACTTCGTACTTCAGTTTCGGGCTTGGGCGTTTCAGCCACATAGTTGGTTGCCCGAACATGCAGGTGTATCAGGGCGTCTTCAGGGTTTGGGGAGTCTACAGTACCGTCTTTCCAGCTTGGCAGCTTTTGAGGATACCTCTGGTTTGATGGTACCGGCTGTGGGGTTAGCGGCACTGCAGCTTCTTGACTTGAAGACAGGAAGCACGTTGCGCCGGCAGACAGAAAGGCAAGATGCTTTGGAGTTCCCTATCTGATCGCCGCTATCACTATCGGTACTATCGCCGATCGATGCCAAACAGACACTCCCCACATCCTACCCTAAAACGGCAAAACCATCATACGGTTGAAAAACACAAAAATCACTGCTGGATGCTGTCCACGTAGCATCCCACAGGCGCTTCGTGCCATCAGCAGTGTCACCCGGCCTCCCATCTCGTCTGCTTGTGCTTACTGTCAAGACTCACGACCCAGTCTGGACCCGGTGGAGCTACGACTACAAGTACGACAACAACAACAACAACTACTACTACTACAACAACTTCTACCACTACTACGACGACGATAACGACAGCGACTACGACTGCGACTACGACCACGTCCGCGACCGGGACTTGGACCACGACGACTCGACAAATCACAAATCACTACTGCGTCTTCTTCTTCTACTACTACTACTACTACTGTATACTGCTACTACTACGACTACGACTACTATTATCATTATTATTATTACTACTACTACTGCTACAAACTAAAGCCCATGCAAATCTCATGTGAGCCGACCACACCTTGGAATTGAGCCCAGCTGACTGTGGATTGATTGCTGAGGCCCTGGCAGAACGATGCAGACCTGGCGCTTGGTTTGTGGTGTAGAAGGTGCTTAAAATGCACAAGACAAACAGAGATGCACGTGCGGCATGTACCGGAGATCGTATTCAGATACAAACCAAAATCAAGCAGCGGTGCCAGCACCACACATGCCCTGCCTCGGATTGGGCGTAGATGGACCTGGGCGGATGCAACCGTTAGATCACAAATCCAGCCCCTTTGCTGGGCTTAAGTAACCATGGAGAAAAAGTATAAACTGATATTTCATAATTGCTCCGTTAAGAAATAGAGAGAGATCAGTCCCGAACCTCAACCTGTAATGTCACTCATAGCCTTGGCCTGAATATGACGTAGAGTCTAGATTCACCCTGCAGTGAGACACCCTGAAGCCCGAACTCTGGAATCCTGAGCCCCCAAATGCTCTAAACCCTGCTCGCACACTGTAGGGCCGTATCATCCTAATGTCCTGAACCCCAAATCCTAATCTCCACATCCTGAACCCCAAACTCAGCTGGCTGCTGGAAGAGCATAGAGTTGAACGTGGGCTGGAGTCGCCGGTTGACCTGAGGGTACTATAATTACTGATACTATTCAGGCTTCTTTACGACGAGAAGGGTTGCTGCAGGGCTAGAAGGCGATGCTATATTCCCAGACACGAGACATTTAGGGTCTAGGACCTAGGGCCTGGGGATACAAGGAAAAAGCCTAGTACTTCCAGCCCGAAAATTTTACACTCTCACGAAAGGAAGGGGTTAGCATTGACAAACAAATCTGTGTACATATCTATCGATGTATACACAAATATATATATATATATATATATATATATATATATATATATACCGTATATACATATATATATATATATATATATATATACACACATACATACATACATACATACATACATACATATATATATATAGATATAGATATAGATATAGATATAGATATAGATATAGAAATATATACACATGTGCACACACACATATGTGTATTTATGCACTCATGCAGTCATGCATGCATGCACGCATGCATGTATGTATGTATGTTTGCATGTTGCGCACCACGGTTGTCATGAATCAAGATGACCCGATCGTCAAAGCAGCCACGGACGCAACGCAAGAGTACCACAAGAGACAGAGGGCAGGAGGAGATACACCACAAGGGCCACCGCACTGTTATGCGTGGATGGGTATGCTGGAGGTGCTAGTCAATGAAGACATGGGCTTAGGAGAAGAGAATACGCAGAGTATCCGCCAGTTTTGCCAGGAATACGCAAGTGCAGAAGCTATGGCTACAGTGATCCATGTGTGCCGCGTCAAGAAAGCTTTCCAGAAGGGCAAAGTGAAAGTGTGTTGCGCAGTGCACGCTTCCGCTGAGCAAGTCTTGAAGTTGTTGGTCGACAAACTGACCGACAAGGGTGGGGAAGTCAAACGCGGACAGGCCCCCAAAGGAGGCCTTGAGCGCGAACTTCAAACTTTTTTTGGACCAGCTAACGGATATGCTGAAGTAGGCTACCTTCTGCAGCATGCAGTTTTGATCCAAGCGTGCTGGCGACCGACTTGGCTCTGTTGCTCTCCTGTTTGCTCGGTTTCTTTCTGCATTCTGGATGAGTGGAATCGGTTATGTCGCTGTTGCGCCCGTGCCCTCGGGATTGGAGGGACAGCGATGGGCACCAGCAAAGGTGATTGGGTCCCAATAGCGGGCTCTGACTCAGCTTTCGTGAACTCACGGGATAGCTGCGAATGAATGAATGAATGTTTGCATGTATGTGTACTCATATGTTTTACATATTGATCTGTTCATGCATGTTCCTGCTGTTGCTCTACCAGCGGCTACCATCATCAGTCTTAGTCAATGCTGTAGGGCCCCTAACTTAAACAGGAAGCCCTCAGGCCAAAAAACAGAGCCCTAATATAGGGGCCTTAATAATTAGAATAGGGTTTGGGGGGGCCATTTATTTATACTATAATCATAATAAGAACCCCCCCAAATAGTATTAGAAAATTATTTTGGCCCCTGCGATAGAACCATACTATAGATCCCTATAGACCCCTTGAAGGAGCCCTTCAAAGGAGCCCCAAAAATAGAGCCCTATGTGCACAGGGCCGGACCTCGAGATCTCCAGGAGCACCTTCGAAGTAGAGGGCCTCCTCTGATGGGGGGCAAAAAAAGGGGGGGGGATTAAGATTCTTAGGGTCTAGGGTTTAGGGTTTAAGGTTTAGGGTTTAGGGTTTGGGGTTTGGGTTCCTTCACATGAACCCTAGTATGGGAACCCTAATCCCTACTAAACCCCCATAGGCTACAACCCTCAGCTATCGGACTTGCTGGGCGGTAGGGCTTCCGAGGTTTCGGGTTTCGGGATGAAGGGTTTGCGGGTATAGCGTTTCAGGTTGAGGGGTTGAGGGTTTATAGGTTTTAAAGATCTTTGGGGATAGGGTTTGGGGGTGAGAGGTTTTAGGGCTTAGGATTTAAAGGTTTTTGGGGAATTTGGGTTTGGGGGAAGTTGGTTGTTGAAGACTAGCATACGGCGGGTTGGGCTTTGTGGTTTAGGGTTGCGGGGTTGTGAGCCATGGTTGTCTGCCAGAGGTGGTAGTAAAGGACCATGCAACTGCAACAGCGACATCGGCTTAGAGAAGAGGCGTAGGTTAATTGCGAGCCTCGCTTCTGAGCAGCATGTGGGGGACTCAGCAGCACAACTGTAATGTTCTGAGGGCCTATAGGCCTATACTATATATAAGGCAGCGTACTAAGTTCGCGCGTCCACGTTGAACACGTTTGAGTTCAATGTGAAGTTATCATGCAAAGTGGCCCTGGGTCGCTCCTCACCCGTTTAACACCCTAAAGTTCGACTCCGCAAACTCAAAACCTAAACCTTGAACCCTAATATAGGGGCCTTAATAATTAGAAAAGGGTTTTAGGGCCCATTATACTACAATTATACCAAACTCCCCCAGTAAATAGTATAGTATAGGCAATTACCAAGGCCCACAAAATTAAACTCTTCAGGTGTAGAGTGAGTCATGGGCCGGGGCCTGAAGTAGAACTGGGTAGCACAGTGAGGGAGACCCCTTAAAGGGTACCCCCTCCGAACCCTACTTCTGGCTCTCTTAAAAGGGACAGTATTGAGAGGGTCTATATCCCGGAGAGTCCCCCTAATCCTAACTCCCTAGAACAGGGGCCTTCGCAAGGGCCAAAGCCGGGCTTGTTAGCGCTGCTACGTTTGGGGGTTTCCGAAAAGAGGGGACCCATTATGGGCTCCGAAAGTACCAGAACTCACAGTTAGAGTATCGGGTTGGGATCTTCGGATTTGGGATGTTCTGTTCAGGTGGTAGGTTTAGGGTTTAGGGCGGTAGGCTGCTGCCAAGTTGCAAGCTTCGCTCCCAGCGTCCCATCCGAGAACCCGTAGAAAGGAATAGAGAAGGCCTCGTCAAGATCTGGCGCCTATCATCCGACATCTTGCCCTCTACAAGCTTTTGGCCGGAATCTGATAGGCCCAGGGTTTAGGGATTAGGGTTTAGGGCTTTTGTTATTGCAGCTCCTGCAACCCATCCACGCGAACCCAGCCCAGACCTGAGATTGTGCGATTGTTCCATTGCAAAGCACGTTATGGCCTGCGAGGTACTGTCGTCTCTGTTAGCCGTCTTATACTGCGTCATGCTGCAACTTATCTTCTACTCAGATCATGCTGAGCTGCTCCCCAAACTGAACGTGATCCCAAACCGTAAGATCATCGCCTGCACTGCACTCAGCTCCAGAATCCACCCTAAACCCTAAACCCCAAGCCTCCTCTAAACTTCAAGCTCTTGTGACGTCTGCATGCGTTTACAGCCACAATGACAAAGACCCCTCCCCAATGCCGAGTGCCCAAAAGCAACGCCCGATGGAGATGGGAGATGTTCGGCTGTCAGGATGTTTTAAGTTTTCATGATGGTTTTGTGGATTTAGGGTTTAGGGTTTAGAGGGTTTATGGTTTAGGGTTTAGAGGGTTGAGAGTTTTGAGGGAGTGCTTATGGTTTAGGGCTTCATTGTGCTTCTATCCCCTGCTCAAGCACGGGTTCTCGGACATCCCAAAACGGGTGGCGTATCCGCACTTCAACGTCGTCGTCGGCACTCGCCCAGTTGGAAGAACAACAACGCCCGACGACTATGATCCAAGCTCTCGTTTAGTCGTAAATCGCTATCCATGTTGCCTTCCACGAAACCTGACCAAGAAGGTGTCAATCATCTTGGCAAGGCTTATAGTTGTCTTGGGGATGTGCTGCCTGACGTATGACTTGTCGTGCAATCTCTCATTGCCCGCTTCAGTGAGTCCTTCGCTTGGTTTTGTTAAGACCTCTCATCAATCTACACTGACAGTGCAATGGCCTGTAATAGTTGGGTTTTAAGCAACTATATAGTTCCCAACACCCTGACCCCCGACCCTAAAACCCTAAAGCCCTCGCTAAGACCTGCGGCATTTTCAGACAAAGACCCAGATCCGAGGCTCTAAGTCGTTTTGGGGCGCACACACACACACATGTGAATATATATATATATATATATATATATATATATATGTATATATATACATATATATATATATATATGTATATAAATATGTATATATATATATATATATGTACATATATATATATATGTATATGTATAGAGCTTTACTTATTTATTTGTTTAGCATTCGATATGCATTTTCTTATCGGTTTTATGTGTTTGTTGATTTATTCTACATATTTCATACATGTTCAAATTTACATGTCTATATATTTATTCAACTATGCTCATATTATTAGTTTCCAGGGCTTCCACAGACGCGGTTTTAGGGGGTATAGGGTTTGTGGGTTTTGGGGTTGGGCATTTAGGGCTTCCGGGTTTAAGGCTTTAGGGCTTAGGGGTTTAGGCTCAAAGGGCTGACTCTGCCTGCTGGAAGATCTTCAGGAACTCCAGCGACTCGGCCTGAGAAGACATCATTAGAGTTTAGAGCTCAGACTTTAAGTTTTGAATTTTGGGATGCTGAGTTTGGGGTTTATACAGAGTGTCGGATTTGGCATGTCGGGTCTAGGATCTCCTCAACCTCAAGACCTTGGAGCCAAGAACAGTGCCGGGAAGGCGTCTACCTGCTTGTGCAAGTAATTTAGAGGTTGGGAAGACAGCGCTGCGCTGTCAGAGACTCTGATCATCAAAGCACTGGGAGGAATGTACATGGGGGTCTCCGGGCACCCTCTTCGTGGTGATGAGGACGGCCAAGTCTTCAAAGCTTAAACCCTAAAACCCCCGAGCCCTGAGCCCTGCAACCTACCCCCAGCCCCAAGCCATCAGAGCCCTAAACCTCCTGAACCCTGCTAAGCGGTCTCATGTTCTTGCGGCTTTCAGGTTAGACCCTAAACCCTGAGCCGCTAGTACTCTTAACGTCAGCATTCCACCCCGCACCTCTAGAGCGAAGCAACGATCAAACGAACGGCAGCCGAACAATTGTTGACGAAGTCCCAAAACCTTGTGCAAACCGCAAAGCTGCAGACAGAACCACTCCCGCCTCTGACGTCTATACCGGATTATAGACTATAGAGGCTTGGGGCATGCTCAACGTGGAAAAACAACAGGCAACCTGGGAGGAATATTACTAGCTGCTCAAGCTTGTATAGCACCTGATGTCCAAAGTAGAGCTGAAAGAAGGAACCTTTGAAACGAAGTCAGAATAGCACTCTGAGTACGATCGGCTGCAGAGCGAAACCACCTTCGAGTAGACTAAACCCGAAACCCTGAACCCTAAACCCTACCCTAAACCCGGAACCCCTCACCCTAAACCCTACCCTAATCCCAGAACCCCTCACCCTAAACCCTACCCTAATCCCAGAACCCCTCACCCTAAACCCTACCCTAAACCCGAAACCCTAAACCCTACCCTAAACCTGCAACCCTGAACCCTAAACCGGACCCTAGCCTCAAACCCGACCTCCGGGATCAGCCGCCAACGCCATGCAGCTTCCACCCACCAGAAGTTCAGATCTTGCCTGGCTGAAGGCTCGTTGGATTCCCCAGAACATAACAGTAGTATGTGCGTATGTGTGTGTGTGCGCCACACATCAATGAATAAATAAACAAGTAGACTAACATATACATATATATACATATACATATACGTTTGTATGTATGTATGTATGTATGTATGTATGTAAGTAAGTAAGTATGTATGTACATATATACGGAATATACATGGACAAATGACTAACTCTGTATAAATACATATAATATATATATATATATATGATATGATATATATATATATATATATAGACATATGCACATACACATCGTCGCGGCTAGCAGCTTGCAACTTCAGGCTCAGGTTTCTTGGATGTTCATTATTTCGTGGCGCAAGCGACGCGGAAATAACATGTCTTATATAAAACCCCCCAGGCCCATATTCTCTGATGCGACGAGATCACAACGATGCGTGCGCTTGAAAGTTCAATGACTAGCAGAGGGTTTGGAGGTATACCATGTATATATATATATATATATATATATTATGTACAATATAAATATACATTGCAAGAGATTACAGGAACATTCCAGTAGTTACTGCTAGCAGAAGCGAAACCAGGGCTGCTACCTTGAACAAGATGCTCCTCTCGACGACCAGAATGAGTCTTCGATCCAAGCCCCAAGCATTAAGACCCCAAACCCCAGACCTAAGAGTAACCTAGGATTCAAAAGTATGCCCTTTTTTGGTTTAAAGGGTGGAATAAGGGAACCAAAGCCCTAAAAAAGGGAAGAAGGGCCTACTCTGGGTCCTGGGACTCCAACCCCAAACCCTCAAGAAGGGGTTTAGGGTTTAGGGGTTTAGGGTTTAGGGTTTGGGGTTTAGGGGTCGCGAACATCACAGAGCTGCCTCCCTAACCCCAAAAACCTGGAAATCCACGGCCCGAACTCTCGAACTCCAGCTTGAGGAAGCGAAAACTAAGAAGGGCCCTGGCACAGAAAGACCGAAGCCTGCGACAGATGTCTGAAAAATGAGGGCATCTCGTAGACTTCTAGAATCAAAAGGGAAAAGGAGGGACCCTTGATGGGGACCCCTAGCCTATAATGGGCTATATAACGGGTATATAATAGCTATATTCAGGGTATATACATAATAGCTATATTAAGAATATGTACCTAGGGGTCCTTATCAAGGGTCCCTCCTTTTACCCTTGGATAGAAGTCTCTTCTGATTCAGGCCCCATCCCTGAATGCTGGCACCCAGAATCCGCCGAAGAGGCTGGAAAGGCGCATTCTCCGTTCCATCCTGCTTCTGAGAAGTCTATGCTTCTGAAGCTTCCGGTGGAACGACAAAGGAAAAAAAACCTTCATCGTGATAGTTTGGGCCGAGGATCTATGTTGCAGGAAGGGTTGTGTAGGGCCCCCAAAAAAGCACATAAGCAAACATTAGGATAGGGATATCCCATATAAACGCCCTTATCATGAAGCCCAATAAGGTAGGGATATCCCCATAAACTGCTTATGCTTATGTGCGTTTTGGGTCCCTAATTGTGGGGTCTAGGTTCATAGTGGTCGAGGCATGCTGGCCCTTTGCATGCGGCCAAGAAGAATGCTGCAACGAGACAGATACTGCTGATGGACAAAATCCTGCATGACCTTAAGGACCCTAAACTATGGGAATTATGGTATATTCCCTATGTTGGGTCATGCAGGATATTGTCCATCCACAGTACGGCCGGCCAACCCTCAGAGAAGAAACAAGCTTGGCATACTCGAAAGTAACTGCCGTAGATGTCCAAAGCCCTATACCCTATAACCCTGCAAGTATGAGCCTGTACGGTTTAGCGTCTGTAGGGTTTGGGGTTTGGGGATTTAGGGTTCAGAGGTTTGGGGGTTTCGGGTTCAATTAAGCGTTTAGGGGTTAAGGGTCAGGAGGTCAAGGGTTTAGGGTGTATTGATGATGTTGGACGAACGAGAACGACATCAAGGGTTGCCTTTGCTGCTTGACTCTCGTGATAATACCCGGAGAACTCAAAGCTTGCTCTGCAGAGGAGTGCTGCTACTAGTGGTGGTGGCTTCTCGCACGGATCGAAACCGAGGTCCTGATGGTTGAAATGGCAACGGTGAAATATCATGCATGAATGAATGCGTTGCTGACTGGTTGAATGAATGAAACAAAGAAAGAATGAATGAGTGGTGGAATGATTCAACGAACGAACGACTGGAAGGCTGGATGAATGAATGAATGAATGAATGAATGAATGAAGGAATGAATTAATGAAGGAATGAATGAATGAAGGAATGAATGAAGGAATGAATGAATGAAGGAATGAATGAATGAAGGAATGAATGAATGAAGGAATGAATGAAGGAATGAATGAATGAAGGAATGAATGAATGAAGGAATGACTGACTGAATGAATGAATGACTGACTGACTGACTGAATGAATGACTGAATGACTGACTGAATGACTGAATGACTGAATGACTGAATGACTGAATGACTGACTGAATGACTGAATGACTGAATGACTGAATGACTGAATGACTGAATGACTGAATGACTGAATGACTGAATGACTGAATTAATGAATGAATGAATGACTGACTGACTGACTGAATGAATGAATGAATGGATGAATGAATGGAATGAATGAATGAAGGAAGGAAGGAAGGAAGGAATGAATGAATGAACGAATGAATGAATGAATGAACCAATGAATGAACGAACGAATGAATGAATGAATGAATGAATGAAGGAATGAAGGAATGAAGGAATGAAGGAATGAACCAATGAACGAATGAACCAATGAACGAATGAACCAATGAAGGAATGAAGGAATGAAGGAATGAAGGAATGAACGAATGAACGAATGAACGAATGAAGGAATGAATGCATGCATGCATGCATGCACGCACGCACGCACGCAGGCAGGCAGGCAGGCAGGCAGGCAGGCATGCATGGATGGATGGATGAATGAATGAATGAATGAATGAATGAACGAAGGAATGAATGAATGAATGAACGAATGAATGAATGAATGAATGAGTGAATGAACGATCGGATGGATGGATAGATGAATGGATGGATGACGGCCACGACGGTGGTGTGGACGCCTAGATATCGTGAATTGCCTGCGTCTTTTGGAAAGATGTAGCGATCAAAGGCGTCCCTGGTATCATGATCAAACTACGAGCTACCCTTGCGGTCTCTTTCTCTTCTAAGTGGTATTACTGTCATGACTCCTACTACCATCCTCTCTCATCGATATGCAGTACAGAAACCGGAATCCTTAGCCGAGTCGCTTCACAGAGCTCTTCAAAGCGCTCCTGCGGTGAAATCGCGGCCCGTCCGGGGTTTGGGTTCCGGTGTAAGGTGTTAGGCTAAAGTAGGCTTCAGGCTTGGGTTTAGATTTTGGATGATTTCTAGGATGCCAAATAACCTAGAGGTTTTGGATGATTTATAGGATGCCCAACAACCTAGGAATAAAAAGCGCTCCTTTTTTTTGCATTGGGTACCTTAAAAAGGAACCAGGGACTACAGAAAGGGAATAAGGGTACTACTGGGCATCCTGGGCTTAGATGTTGGATGATTTTGGGGCATTAAGGTTTAGGGAGCAAGGGTTTGATTTCGGGTTTAAGGCATTAGGGCTTGGGAAATCAGATGAGATTTAGGGAAGATGGTCGGGTGGAGGGGACTTACTGAGTGCATGGGCTTCGGAGCAATCTAAGGCAACTAGGGGGCACCATGAGACAAGGAATTGCAGCTTGTTGCGACTAGGGATCGCGGGTATGTTGGATGATTCGGTCGAGGGAGCCTTGCAAGGGTGTAGGGCTGCAGGTTGAAAGGCGAGCATGGTCAGGATCTGGGATTTAGGGAGTCCCATGGAGGTCAGGGTGGAATAGAGCTTCGGGCCTGAAGCTTGGCTACGATGCCAGGCCTGTGGTGCATCACAGGGGTTCTTAACTCTTAATCATTGAAACAGAGTTCGAGTCGTATTGGGCTAAGAAATATGGGAGTATCCAAAAATATTGGGTACCTTCTCGTTGGGGTCCTTATAATAAGGATCCTACTATTTAGGGTACTATATTAGGGTCCCTTATTTCCGGAAACTCCCATAGAAGGGAGTCGTCTGTATAGGCTGGCGGAGGTTTCTGTTGCTAAGGGACCATGGCCGAGGTGTGCTTCTTTGTTGCTAACTTTTCCTTCTTGAAGTGGGCGACCCGTGCAAGGGTCCTTACCTTGAGATCCCAATACCCCTCAATTATTAGGGAATATGCCTTAAATCATAGTATTTAGCCCCCTACAGTTTGAGGTATATTCCTTAATTAACGGGTATTAGGATCTCTGGGTATAACGGCGGGACTTCAACACCAAACAGTCACCCTTCCTATGCGGGACTGGGGAAAGAACTCGATTGTAGTCGACATGAACACCCGCTCCGCAGCGAGAGCCGCAGAATCGCCGGGCGTGCTTCAGCCGCTCAGCAACCAAAATCCACTAATTACTCTGAATATGAACCCGCCTGTAGTCTCCATTGTAGTTCTTTTTCGGGGTTACCTTATGGGACCCTTAATCTATAATTGGTTAAACCAATAAGGAACTACAATGGAGACTATAGGCGGTGTTACTAGAGCTACAACAAGTGGTATTCGAAGAGATTCCCGAGACTCAAAGACCACTGTCCGAGCTTGGCTCGTTCACTTAGCAAACGTGAGACCTTGTTATCGGCTCCCCTTTTCCCAAAGGGTCCCAGGTACTGTTATGGGGGATACTAAACCCCACATTCTACCATGTTGGCCCTTTGGACCCTTTGGGTTTGGACTAAACGAAGGGATCTTAACACCCAGAGCTTGAACTCGAAAGGCTCTCTGGATTGACCGCTTTCTACACTGCTGTGTGCTTTCTACACTGTGTGGTGCCTTTACGTGGGCCCTGGTAGTGTCAAGAACGAGCAGACTGAAGCATTTCTCCTGGGAGAGGAGAAAGGCATCCACCACCGTTGTGTTGCCTCTGGCCAATGGGGCCTTAATAATTAAAATAGGATTATTGGGGGCATGTTCTACTATAATTATACTAAGGATCCCTACAAATACTATTGGTAATTATTTCGGTTTAGGCACCTATAGTACCATGTCGATGCTTCTGCTTGCTTCGGCCACGGGCCAGCAGCCTCCTTATCTACTGGTATCTAGAGAAAGTCATAGACAGCTGACTGAGGAACTCCGGAATTCCAAAATCGTAAAATGCTTACGCGTTTAGGGCTTGGGATGCTTGGGGCTTGCTGCAGGTTTCAGTTTCATAGAACGTGAGGGCTTCCTTTCACGCTCCCGAAGAGTCCAAGTATCATTATGCTATATACTTAGACCCCCCAACACACCCTATAAGTATATACCATAATGATACTTGGACCCTTTGGGGCTCTAACCCGCTTCGAAGCGCTGTCTGAGTTGCCCTCAAGTACGAAGTGTCGCCGGGTCCACGGCCTCGACGGATGCCACATGCCGTCCTGACCCAGATCTTCCAAAATTCACTGATTAGGGTCTAGGGTTATAGGGTTTCAGCGATTTGTGTGCTTTAGTTTACAACAAGATCCATAGTATGATTTAAGGCATATTCCTTTGTAGATCTGGGGCCCCATGCAAGAAGGCATCAACTACTAGCTGCATCCCACCCTGGGAGAGGGAAACATGGTCCCCAACCATCTCTACAGGACGGTAGAGGGAGCGCAAACTGGAAGAAAGTTTCAGGGAAACCTTTTGTATCCTCCCTCCTGACTTCATAGCCAGCAAAAGCTGTCAACCTGAACATCTTCAGGCATCAATCTTAATCCCACTGCGCAGTGCCTCTGTCTGGAGCCACCGCGCGCTGCCACAAGTCTGCCGAAAGAAGGCCTAGCATACGGAGCAAGATTACAAACGACGTCCTGCTAGTATCTATGTTTATAACTTAACCCTAAAGCCCTATAAACTCTAAACCCAATGTCTGTAACTCTGATGAGGAGCCTGCTCGCAAGCAGCAATCTATATTCGAGCCCCATCTTCGAACGCAGCTAGCACGGGGGCCTTTCCATTGCAGACCTGGTGTTTTGGGATACAGTGACTACGCATATTATACTTATATTGAAGAACCTCAGGGAACAGTACTCGTAAGGCCCCTATATTAAACCACCTCAAGCGACTCCAAGCTACTATGTAGGCAGATTGTAGGCCTGTGAACTCGCTCTGAAATCCCGAAACCCTAAAGCCCCCCAAACCCTTGAAACCTGAAATCCCGAAAACAACACACCCTGAAAGCCATAAACTCCAGGGTCTGGCATCGGTTTTGCCATGGGAGGCACCTCCCTCTCGGAGAAGGTGGCGCCTTGGCCGCTGATGGCACCGACGTAGCCTGAAAGCAAAGTGGTACTTCGATCATGTTCTACGGTTTCGGGTTAAGGACTTCGGGCCTAGAAACCCCAAGCCATAGAAAGCTTAAACATTCGGCTTTCAGGCGCTCGGGGTTCAGGATGTTGATACACATTAGTGTATGTGTGTATATGTATATGTGTGTGTACATATCTCTACATATGTATATATATATATATATAAAGTAGTACTAGTACAACCAATAATGATGAATATGATGATTAATAGGACACGGTTCCAGCTCAGAGCTTGCGATAGCTGCTCTCGATCGCACGCTGTAGGGCGGATGGCACCGGGCCTAGAAAGCTTGATTCAATGCACGAGAGATCCGAGTTCCGCGGCTGATTTGGGATACATGAAGATGCTGCAATGATAGCACTTTTTACAGGACTGGAAGAATCAGAAGGATGACATCAGTCGTGCGATAGCCATCACGATGAAAAAGACGAACACAAATACGGAAACAGCAGCAACTGGAGCCGCAGCAGCAGTGGCAGCAGCAGCAATTGTTCCGAAAGCCGACATATTCAGCATCATCAGGAACAGCATCACCACTATCATCCATACCATGGCCGTACGTGTGAAAGTCATGCTGATATGAGATACACGGACTGCTGAAAAAGCAAAAGCTGTAGGTTGAGTTCGTACACAACAGAACTGAACACTTGGGCTGGCTGGGCGACTTTGGAATCAGGAAGCACGACGACACTTCCATGGGAGTGCCTTACCTTCCTCACCAGGACAAGAGAGCAAACAGCTGCTAGGTGACATTACGACCTTTGCACTACAGTACACTGTGTTGCATTACATTACACTGAGCTACACTGCACTACGTTACATTTTACATTTCGTTACACGACATGCTGTTGCGCTAAATTTACCGTTTCGTTGCATTGTTTTTACTAGGTTGCATCAGACTGCATCCAACACACAACATCAATACAACATTGCATCGCATGGAATTATTTCATGATACGGCATTACAACCCATTACATTCCATTGCACCACACTCCTTCGTATTCGTATCCTGTATCTTGCATTACCATACTTCCTCTTGCAGTACTTGAATGACTGGCATGGGCATCCACATGTAAAGTTCTTTGCAGTGCATATGTGGTTACATAAGTATATGCCCGTACACTAACCTGACAGGCACACCTGATCGAAATTCTGTGCAGCTTGCCCATGTGCACATGTAAACCGATGTAGGCATACATATGATATGTATCACACATACAAACCACATCGAAACTACCCTTTATGCAAGGCCGGATCCAAGTACCGACCAATTGAAAGAGAAGCGGCATCCTGGAACAGGGTTCTGGAAGGCCCTAGGAATGATTAGCCCAAAGTCAGGCCTACGTTGAAGCGGCGAGGGGCGAGGAGCTGTTGCGGCACCACCTGGCTTTCATCGGGATCAGGTCTTGTGCCTTCTCTTGTCCAAGCAGCTTTGAATTTGGTATTCGGGGGTTGGCTTCTGCGACTTTCAGCCAAGCTTATAGCTCTGGGTCGAAGGTGTTGGGCCCTTCGGGTAAACGAAGCTCAGGGTCTAAAGACGTAGGGCAGCATGAGTGACATGACCAGAAATTCTATCGTTGCGACAAGACTTCAGAGACGTTAAGTCATGTTCATGAGAACTCACTGATCTTGGTGAACATTGCAGACATAGCAATTCTGAGACCATGTCCGTCGTCACCCTCGTCGTCGTCACGAGGGCCGTGTTCGCCTCTGACGACATCGGTATGCTCATCGTCGCATCGTCGTCGTCCTCCTGCTCCTCCTCCTTCTCATCCTCCTCCTCCTCCTCCTCCTCGTCTTCGTCCTCGTGCTCGTCCTGGTCCTAGTAGTCGAAATCGTAGTACGAGGAGGAGAAACAAGGCAGGAATAACGTCGCAAACTCGCAACACCACGTCGCGCATGTCATTGCCCAAGACTTTGAACCCTTGCTAGTCATGCCTGCGAATCTAGTAAGAACCGCTAAAGGGCAAACCCCCTGCATATAATAGCACTGGACTCGAACCTTGCTACGGACCTTGAACCTGCCATACCGTGCGCTGAACAACTCGCAAACCTTCAGCTCAAGAAATCATCTTCACCCTGAGATACGGCACCAACGACGTCAACGTACAAATGACCCCCGAAGCCAAAATCAACCTTAAACCTTAAACCCTAAACCCCCAGAAGCCTAAACCCTAAACCAACATGAAACTTTCTTGGTACCATTTAAGGCTTTCACGTGCCGCAGCCGCGAGGCGAAGGGGATGAGCACGAAACGCCCCCGAAGGCCTGCAGAAGCTTTTGCGAATCAACTTCAGGATTTAGGGCGCAGGGGTTTAGGGGTTTATACTAGGGGTTTGGGGGTTTCGGGCTTTAGGGATCGCGGCTGAGGGCTTGCAACTGCTTTGCATCAAGAGCCACATTAGCTCGTCAACTTCGGACTCCAAGAGTCTGAGTATGAACCAGGTAAGATAAGGGCCTTCAACAGTTAGAATACGGTCTTGGGGTAGATTGTTCTACTGATAATCAGGAACCCCCGAGAAATTATTGGTGATTCTTTTGCCCCCTATACTCCTTTGAACTGATTTTTGTCTAGGGCAGTCTTGATGTTGAGAGGGCTGTGGGTTAGGGGCTCGGGGCTTGGTGGGCCTCCTCAAGCTCGGAGCTCTTGGCGCAAGAGCCTTCTAAGAACGTCGATACATGCGAGTTTCCGAAAATAGGGGACCTTAAGATAGTACCCTAAAAAAAAAGACCCTTAGTATAAGAACCCCAAAATAAGGTACCCCTAATTTCGGAAACTCTAAACCCTAAACCCTTTATAGAACCCTTATAGATCCCTTTAAGGAACCCAAAAAAGGTACTCCCCAACCCCCCCCCATTTTCGGAAACTCCCACATGAGCTGATCTCCCCTTTTTTGCGACCATGCTGCTCCGAGGCTCCTAGTGCTGGTACTGGTGTTGGTATGAGACTTTCCGAAAGTTAAGGGTACCTACCATTTGGGGACCGTATAGTAAGGACCCTACTATTTAGGGTACTATGTTTAGGGCCCCCTATTTTCGGAAACCCCCATATTGGTGTTGCTGTTGGTGCTGCTGTTATTGTTGGTGGTGGTGGCGGCAGTGGCAGTTGCAGCGGTGACAGCCGTGTTGGTGTGGGTGTCGTTGGAGTTGGTGGCGATACTGCTGCTGCTGATGAAACTATTGTCTCGGATTGGAGCAACGTTGCTGTTTCGTTGCTGTGGTAGTCGTGATCGACGGCATGACGGTGGCTCTCAACAGCTGTGTGCTTGGCAAGTGCTGAAAAAGCTTAAGTGCCAAAACCACTTTGTGTAGTTTTGACCCATTGATGAGGACGACATGCCTAATTCTACCGCGGGCGAAAGCACAAGATGTTTGCAAATGCAGTGTTGTTGATTGTGATGATGGTGATGAGGTCGCCGGTGATTGCAATGGTCGAGAGACTGACGCTGACATTGCGATGGCGACGGCGACGACCGGCTGGTATGCTGATGCTGGTTGCACTTGTAGAGCCGTTTGTGATGACTTGAACGACGATGACGAAGACGACGACGACCGATCGTCACAAAAGCAGTGTGCCCGTTGTAAGTAATGATGCTTATTCTAATGGTGGTAGACATGTTGGTGTGAACATCGGGTGTGAACGCGATGCTGACGCCAAGCAGTGATGGTATTGAGCTTAGTTTGTTTTCAGGAAGTTGTATCCCAGGAGTCTTTCAGGATGCGTAAGATATCGTATACGCTCCTCCGCTTACAGTAGCATACCCGGACAAGGAAACTTGTAAAACATACTGAAACCTCTAAAACATGCAAGCAACAAACTCTCTATGATGATCTCTAGGTCCCGAGCTCCAGCTATCTGGTTCTATTCCGCAGGGAGATGGACAAGCGACCTCAGGCGAACAGTAGGCCCAGTGTAGTGGTAGTGGTGGTAGTGGTAGTGGTAAAGTGGTAGGGTAGTGGTGGTGGTAGTGGAAGTCGCAGTAGTAATGATAATAACAATGATAGTAGCAGCGGTAGTAGCGATAGTAGTAGCAGCAGCAGTGCAGTAGTAGTGTGCAGCAGAAGTAGCGCGGGGAGGTAATCGGGCTCGTTCACTTATCAAGCGCACAGCGCGCTCGGCACCTTTTACTGTCGCACCGACAGCAGTCGCAGCCTATGGCTTCAAAGTCGTGACTCGCAAAAGGGGCCCCTCTCTTGAGAGGTAGGGGCCACAGGTTTCAGAGCTTCACAACTGTTCGGCTGACATGTCAAAACACAAGCGTTGCATCAACCCCAAAAAGGATTCAGCCGAACCAGCTGATTGCCCTTGAAGGCGGAAATGTTCATCCACCTTTCCTACTGCTGTACGTCCGGCTTTCTTGCTTTTCTTAGCCGAAGTAAAACTCGGATCAAAGGCTATCGACCAATGCCACGTCTGAAGGAACTTGATCAGACCAGCTCGCGCATCAGCTCTCTTCTTCGTCAAAGCATCTGCAAGGTCGTACTCGGAGTTCACCCAGCGAAGACCGCATCCGGCACGACGAAGATTGTCACGAAGCTGGAATGCCTGAAGAGCTGACCGCATATTGGAAAGTCCAAGAAGCGGCGACTCGTTCACTTCAACAGCATCGTAGCCGCCTCGTGAGTCCGTGCACAGAACACCCTTCACGTGCACGACCTGTTGCTCCATGGTCTCCACCAGGTCCTTCCGCATGGGCTTCTCAAGTCCAGCGCCATTCATCTCCGTCCACAGTAGACGCACTCTGAAATTTTGATCTTCTGCTTCCACAATGGATTGAACCTCCGCGTCGTTCGATCCAATGGCCTTCCGCTTGAGCTTCCATGTGCGCCATCCAAGAAGCACCATAGGGCACACAACTCCTTGGAGGGATTCTGGACCAGCGGCAAGGGTGACCATTCCGCCTGTTGAGTCCCCCTTGGCTCGATTTCCATGAGCTTGGTCGCCCATGGAGATGAAAACAATCTCAGTCCAATGCTTCGCCCTTGGAAGTCGAAAGAACTGTAGCTTGTAGGACTCGCGGCGCACCTCGTTGATCATATACTGGATCTCACGGGCGGTGGTCAAAGTACCATCGGTAACGGTCTCCGTGAGAAGCAGGTTGCAGCGGCTACACAGCTGAGGTTGTGATTGCACTGCCAACCACTGTAGCGCTCCCAGGGCTGCTCGGCAGGCGGCCGTTTCTGGACTGGTCATACGATCATCACGCATGAGGCGCTCCGGTGGAATCTCAATGTCCTGTAGGCCTTCGATGTAGTACGATTGGTCCACCACGATCTTCTGGTAGCCGTCTGCGTCCACTTCAGTCGACACATCTGTGCCGGCATGACGGTATGAGCCGGTTTTGGCCATTCCCCACTTGTAGGCCTTGTCAATCTGATCGCGGATTGCAAGCCATTCCGAGGACTCCTTGTTGCCGACCCTGTGAAAGTCGTCCACATGGCCGCCCATTGCACCAAGCAGCTTGCGAAAGCCAAAGGCATCGGTGTCCTGCTTTGAGAACCACACCCATAGGCAGCGCTCACCGAGAACTGCAATTCCTCCAAGCTGCGTGAGTTTCTTGTGCAAATCAAGCCAGAGTCCGCGGGGTGCCGTTGTCGACCCATAAATATTTCGAAGTATTCGCATGATGCCTTCGTCCTCAATGTCAAGTGCTTCACGTAGCTCTTGCACCCCGGTGGTCCAAAGTTGCTCATCAGCGGCCGTTGGGTTGGTCTGCAAGAAGGCAGTAGCCAAGTCGAGACCTTCTAGTGACCATTGGTAGTGTGCCGCCAAAAGGTAGAGCAAGTTGCGACCCAGTGTGGATTGCACAGGACTCGAGGTCTTGAATGAGGGGTCCAGAAGTGAAGGATGTTGGAACCCTAGAAGAACAATCCTGGCCTTGGCCTTGCGACGTCCATGAGCATCATGCAATGTCTTGGGGTTTGTGGTCGCATCAGCCTGCGCTTCCTTCTGCTCATCAGTTGGCACCAGCTTCCATGTGAGCACCCATCGAGCTTTCACAATCCTCTGAGATCCATATGCTTGACGAACCTCATCTTGATCAAGACACTTCCGGACTGCCTCGTTCTTCAAGAAGCTGTCCACTTCTTTGGCCTTGGCACGTGCAAATAGTTCTCGTTCGTGAGGTGGTAGTTTGCTCAGCACCACTTCCGTGTCACGCATCTTTTTGACCATGTAGGCGACGGGATTGCGAAGGAACATCTTTTGTTGCCGGTGGGACTCCAGTGGACCAATGTCAATCTCCACTCGTAAGAAGTCATCTACTTCTTCCATTGCTGAAAACAAGTCTCCACAGGACTGCTCCTCAGCAGCACCGGCTTCCAGCTCCTCAACCCAGCGTAGGTCGTAGTTCTCCACCTTGGACCGTTTGTGGGATTCCACTTTAGCTCGCTTGGGTACTTGATCATCACCAGACGTGCTTGGTCGAGTAGTCGGAGGGGTAGTGGATGAGGTAGCTGGTTCGTTGTAGTCGTTGACCGAAGGAGGTTCCGTCGCTTCCTCGATGGTTTCCCGTTGTAGTCGATCTTGTACAGGATCGTTGACATAGTCGCCCGGTCTGAAGGAGGTTTTGTGCGTCAACCTCCGGCGAGGAATCACTGTGGTTGTTGCATTTGGTTGAGGTGGTAGATCAGGAAGTTCCACTTCGTCTTGTTCAGGGGTTTGGTCGGTGAGGTCGTAGTACTCGCGCTTGGGTAGCAGATCGGACAAGGATTTCCAGGTGCTCGGATCCTCGTTGCTGGTAGTCTCGTACTCGAAGCGCTCTGTCTCACTGACGGGTCGCACAGAATGGGTGGAGCACCGGAAGAGTTGTTTCCCGATCAGGACCCATACAATATGTCGACGGTCATCATCTCGTTCTTGGTGAGGTAGGACTTCACTGAAAACCACACGTCCAGGGCCGATCCAATGTGGTCGGGCAGACATTCGAAATCCACCTTTTGGCCCCTTGTGTTGGGTCTGAGGCCAAACTCTTCGCCAGACCTTCACCAGATCCATTGGGTTATATAGGCGTAGTGGTTGTCGAACACTGGTATTGCTGAGCTTCGTGAGAACACGCTTGGCTCGAGTGGTCCTCGCGATCTCTTCTGCTTTTTGCCTCGACGTAACAAGCTGAACAAAATCACTGCTCGGGTCCATTTGTTGGAACGTCACATGGTCCTCGTCGGTCAAACTGAAGTTTCGGCCAAAAGCCCATTGGTATGCAGAGAAGCCCGCAGTGAACTCAGTGGAATTGAGAGCAGAGACCGCCAATTGGAGGGTCACATCCAGGGGTTGATCGCGAGCTTCCAGATGGATGGCCGACGCTGTCATCTTTACATCTTGTACAGCGGCTTCAATGGTACCATGAGCCCAGCTTTCCTTTTCAGCTATGTAGTGGACCAGCAAGTTGAGGTCGGAGGCGAAGTCGTGGATCTTCTCTGAGATAAAGCTCTTGGCCGAATCCAGCAGTAAAACTCGGGGTTTTGGGAAGGTCCCCAACCATCGTTCAGCAAAGGCCTTGATGAAGTCCTGGGAGGATTCGGATCGTCTTTGAAGGAAGTCGTAGGTCTCAAGTGGTTGTACAACTCGTAATTTGGTGGCAACATCCATGAAGAGGAGGAAGTTGATCTTCTTCTTGGAATTCGGTGGGACCCATTCGCCGGCATCAACAGCCACAGCTTCCCAAGCAGCATATTGCTTATGAGTGCTGGCGGGTGGAATTTGCTTTGAACTGGTGCCGCCAGGTCGAAGGCTGGAACACGTAGGACATTGATAGTCTCGAGCAATCTGTATTTTCCATTGCGGGTGTCCAGCTTCAGAAACAATGCGTGCCAAGTTTCGGTTTGTAGGATGTCCACCGGATTTGTGAAGTTTGGCAACCTTGGCTTGCCATTGATCAACTTCCTGTTGAGTAACGCCTTCTGGAAGTGGAGGTGGTGGTAGTGCATCACGTTCATCGGCTGCAGGTCTCGCGGCATCATCAGAGGTTTGTTCCACAACCATCGTTGTCATTGAGCAAGCACGAAGATCAGGAAGAGGAAATCCAAGCATAGTGAGCATCTTCCTGTCGGATGCTTGTGTCCATGGGATCAGCCTTGTAGTATAGGCCGAAATCACAATGCGGCGTCCAGACCATCTTTGGGTTGCGTGCCAAGACATGGGGTCGAAGATGGCAACCTTGTGGTGAGTCGGTAAGAGGTAGCCTCGAGGTCGGGAGCCGTCTGGTAGTAGACGCCGTGCTTCCAGTTGTTCACCAGGTGGATCGCCATAAACCCAGAGCTCGCCGCCGGTATAGGAACCGAGACCCACCAAAATGTTCCTGGACGTCCTCAAATTGTGAACATCTCGGTGAGGTAGCGCGGAGATCCCATAGGTGATCTGCAGGCTGGACCATTGCTCTTGAGGGGCAAGTCGACGAAGAAACTCATTGATGTACTGTACGGTTTCGGGATAGACCATTGTGCGACGGCTTACACCGCTGAACTTGCCGTGGGAATAGCCGCCGAGAAGAAGACTGGTGACCCCAGGCTGGTTTCCACGAGAGTGTAGTTGGCCTTTTCTACCGGGATCACCTTGTAGAGACTCCACAATGTCGGTGCACATCTCGAAGGAGTAGTCCTTGCTCCGCCTAGCCTCCTTAGCCATAGTTTCTGTAGCTCTTCGACTTGACCCAGATGCACTGACGGCATAGTCATTGATGAACGACCCAGATGCACTGACGGCATAGTCATCAAAAACAAAGTCCATGGAGAGGTTGTTGTCGATTGCGTCGTCACACTCATTGGTCTCGATGGTAATCATAGCATCATCTACTCTGGTAGTTGTTGACGGAGAGGTGTTGTCGATTGCGTGGTCGCACTCATTGGTCTCGAGGGTTTCCGCATCCAGAAGAGCTCGTAGATCCTCTCGTCGATGAAGAAGTCGTAGATGCCGTACCGGTACCAAGAGACTGCTCCAGTGGCGAGCAATCGAACAGCACAGTTTCCATGGGTAGTAGACGTTGCTGTTGACTTCAATATCTTGTAGTAGATCATGTCGATGGCCACCATGACATACTTTAGCTCTGTAGGCATTGTGGAACTTCTCATCGGTTGTCATGATTAACCATTTCTTTTGGAGGTGTCCTTGGGTCTTGGGATCACGTAGGTCATAGACACAACCGTCGACTCGACATCGAAGCCACGGAATATTGGCCTCGTCAAGGAAGGAAGCTAGATCCCGGAGAGCCGGCTGGTTGAGACCATCTATGGGATGCGTCCATTCCCAATAGATCTCGGTGTCGGGGGCTTCGGTGAGGGTATCCTTGACAAACTCCACCGCTGACCAGATAAGCCTGTTGCTCTTCTGAAGATCACGTTGTCGTCGGACCCATTCTTTGTCAGATCGGTTCCATGGGCACCATTTGTCACAAGGCAAGGATATCCACAGACGTTGTGGTTGGTGGACTCGACGGAGCTTGCGCATTTGGCTCCATGAGTTGGCCTTGTACAGGTCGTACCCAGATCGTAGGTCAAATCGACGTGGTCGTAGGCTTTCTTGTTCGCATGCTTGGTGTAGCCAATCATGGGGTCCCATAGAAATTTCCCAAACACCATCACGACCATCTAAATGAAGTCCAGCAAGAAGCGAGGTCGTAGCTGCCGTCATCATAGAGGCAAAGAGCATCACTTGCTTCCCGATTTGTCGTGGTAGAGGACGCACATTGGTAGCGGATGTTGGCAGTGATTTCACTCTTGCTGTTGAGCTGCCTCGAAGGCTGCCGGGAGGTCGTTGTCCATCGTCATTTGCCAGCTTCCGTTGGAGCTGTCTGGGGTCTGTGGTGTTCGCCGCGCAGTCGTCTTCACCATGGTCGAGGAAGTCGAAGTTGTCGCCGATTGCTTGTGCTGGATGATCGCTGTGCGGAGAGTCTCCTCGGCGTCGATCTTGGCTTGCATGGCCTTGCAGATCGTAGCCGTTGGCATGAAGTCGCCCATCAGTGGCTGCAGCTCGTCCAGCATCCGCTGCACCATTGCCGGGTTCTTGACACTGGTCGTCTGACCATGTGACCCTTCTCGCGGGGTGTACGACAGGCGTAGGTCGCAGACTGCACAGTGAACCCACTCGCCGTGAGCATTGCTCTTCGGTGTGTCCGCAATGTGCTGGTTGTAGCACGGCCAAACCTTGTTTGACGCTCGAGGATCCCGAGTGTCTCCTGGTACTCGTCGTTGTGGGTCCAGAGGAGGAGCTTTCGATTTGGCCTTGGTTTTGGCCTTGATGCTCGCAACCACTATCTTCTCGGAGGCCGCCGTCAGCTGCTGAGGGGTATACGCCGCCATCAAGCAGAGAGCACGAAGAGGGAGTTGATGAGGAGGGCTGTGCCGTCGGGGCACTGTTCATCTGAGCTGTAGAAGCTGAAGCAATCAGAGGATCATGATCACGAGCTCTCTCAAACAACTTCCACATGTGAGCTTCAACTTCTGCGCGCTCTTGCTGATCAAACTGTTCATCGCAAGCAGACATGTCAATCCACATGGTACCTAACTCAAGCCAGTTGTTTGATTGATCAGGTACAGGCACAGCTGGGGATTGTAGAACCGAAACATGCACATGACCATGATCACATACTTGACCTTTCGTTAGATGGTGGCGTACATCTACCATGAGGTGGCCCTTGCGATTCCGAGGTAATTCATAGATCACAGGTGAATCTTCGCGAGTGTTCATCGCTAGGCCCGTCCTGAAATCAACAAGAAGACCAACTTCATGGATGAAGTCCATACCGACAAGAAGGGGTGGTACTGATGCTCGATCGGTGATGGCAGTAGGCGGATTGGGCAGCATGTACAACGAGAATGTTACAGGAACTCCAGAAGCACGACTGGTAACACTCACACGGCTCAAGGCTCTTCCCCATCTCCCATTCCCAAACCTGAAGTACGGTCGCGCGGATGCATCGAAGTCCACGGTAGCACTCTTGTCCATGGTGAGAATGGAAGAAATGAGGCCGCGGATCACCATTTCAGGCGCCGCCGATGCCGTGGCCCCACTGTCCAGCATGCCGATGTGCTCCTGTGGTTCAGCTGGAACCGACGTGCTGGCCGATGCCAAGTCCAGGGAATCACGAAGTTCAAGACCACCGAGATAGTGGGCCTCAGTGGCATATGCATTGACTGTTCGCATCGGGTGTTGCGGCTTGCCCTTGGTCTTGCCCTTCATCCACTGGGCCTGCGCTTCCATCATGGAGTTCCGGACCCAGCCCTTGGGGCGAACCTTTCCCTTGGACTTGCCCTTGCCCTTGTGGGTGTAGTAGTCGTCGTAGATCACGTTGTAGATGCCCTTGCCCTTTCCTTTAGTGGTCTGTCGGGGACAATCACGGACGAAATGAGGTCCGCCGCAGTTGTAGCATCGAGGTGGGCCGCCCTTCTGGACCACAGCACCAAAGCCGCGATCTTTCCGTAGAGCAGCCGTAGCTTTCTGCGCTTCCGTCCAAGTCCTTTGTGCCTCGGAAGCCAGCGCTTCAGCCACCTGCTCCGCCTGTTGAGCTTCGCGAAGACGTCCATCATCGTCGCCCTCGCCATCCACCGTGCTCACAGCCTGGGCCTCGGGACTCTCCCAAGATCCATCCCACCAATCATCATCGGGCTCCTGGTAGTAGGCAGTGGACTCGTCCCACCAGGAACTCCATCCATCATCCCAATCCTCTTCGTAGTCCTGGTAATTCAGGTAGGAGGCATCCGTATTGTCCACGTAGTTCAAGTGGCCTCCTCCAGGTGGGCGGTGTCCAAGAAGCTGCTCATCCCACAAGCCCTGCAAAGCCTGAGAGATCACCTCGTAATTCAGGCTGTTGCGGGTGGTCGATAGGATATCGCGTTTCTCTTCAGCCGACAATCCGGCTGCTTGTAGCAGCCTCCATCCTCGCAGCACTCCCATTATGAACGAATCAGCCACCGACATCTCATCGATCGCACTCTTGGGTCCATCACGTACTTCGCCCTCGGTGGGCGTCGCCTCAGCATTGCGATGGCTTGGAGAAGATCCGGTGGCCCCGCGAACCTCAGGGGCTGCTCCGTCAGGTAGTTCTTGATCGTCACCAGCAGGTCGGGTCTCAGGGCCTTGATCACCATCGGCCCTCGAGGCGTCTTCATCCTGGTAGTCCTCAGCGGAACCCCACCAGGGATTCTCCCAGGTGTCTTCCGGTTCCACGGGAGGAAGACCAAAGTCCCTGCTGTCTTGCGAGATGCCCAGTTGTTCTTCATGAAGACGAATCAGTGCCTCAACAAACTCTTCATGAACCAACGTTTCCCTGACCAGGAAGTTTCCCATGGATTCTTGCTGTCCTCGACGAAACGAAAAATACTGTTGGCAAATCGCTGCAGCATTTGGTAATGACTTGCGGACGAGAGGACTTCCGGCTAAGCGCTGTAACAGGCGCTTCGTCCCGTCCTCTGCATCAAATGTCATCTGAGGCCATGACATAGCGAGGAGGCGGGCAGGTCCCGTAAGCTTGCCCATCAACTTTGAAGCGCAGTAGCGCCTCTTGTAGACCGGGGTAGACTGAACATACCAGGCCACTTCACGTGTGTACCTGCGCCAGTTGCGGGCGCTTCCATCCCATGTCGGGACGTGACCCGCATCTCGCGAGTCGGCCATGATCTCCCTTTCTCGTCGTTCACCTCGACAAGGATCTCAATGACGTACAGCAGAAGAAAGAAAACCCACGCTGTCCTTAGGAGAGCGTAGAAGAAGAAGGAGAAAGCCCTGCAGAGGACACCGTCGTTCCGCAGGAGGAACCGACCACCGTAGAGCCTGGCTGCTAGGCAAGGAAGTAGTCGGGTGGGGTCAGTTCCAGATCAAAGTAGCAGCCTGCGGGGAGCACCGGTAGGTACCTGGAGCGTTTGTGCTCCGCTGCCAATGCAGCAGAAGTAGCGCGGGGAGGTAATCGGGCTCGTTCACTTATCAAGCGCACAGCGCGCTCGGCACCTTTTACTGTCGCACCGACAGCAGTCGCAGCCTATGGCTTCAAAGTCGTGACTCGCAAAAGGGGCCCCTCTCTTGAGAGGTAGGGGCCACAGGTTTCAGAGCTTCACAACTGTTCGGCTGACATGTCAAAACACAAGCGTTGCATAGTGGCAGCAGCGCAGGAGTAGTAGGAGGGAGAGCAGGAGCAGCAGCAGAAGCAGCAGCATGAGTAGAAGTGATTCCGACCATGGTAACTGTGATTAACTCCCTTGCCCGGACTACAAATTGTGCCATGATTACGGTCACGATGGTGGTGGCAGGTACGATGGCGATGGCGATAGTGAGGGGGAAGGGACAACTTCACTGCACAATACTTGTATGTTCAATTGGATACCAAGTAACAACTTGCAATGGCGCGCTCTGAGCATGAACTTCGACCAGGTGACGTTCTAGCTTACAGCTGGATGCAACTTTGCGGTTACATAACCAGAAGCTTCGACCATTAGGTTGGCATTAGCTGTAGCTTTCAGACTTATGCTCTTAGGACGTCGTACCGTCATCACGCCAATCTTGCACTTGGTTTGTCAAACGCGAAACTTTTGTGAAGAAGAAGGTGACGAACAAGAATAATATCATCGTGCAGATGGGGAGAACCATGAGCAGCAAAACCGGCTTATTACATACTAAATACTCGACCTTCTAAGCCAAGTAGCGGTCCAAATCAACCAATTTGCAGCCACCGGGTCGTAGCTTTGGAGCTGGAAAGCTGGCTCGGAGTTGCGATAGAAATCGAACCTGAGGCAATGCCAGCTTGTCAACATGTATGTATGTGTATACGTACATGTATACATACATACATGTAAATACATATTTAAATATGTATTCACATCATGCATTTCATGTATATGATATGACATGATGTGATATAGTAAGATAAGGAATGACATAACATGTGTCATAAAATTGGATGGTAGAAAAGCATATCAAGTTTTGTTAGACTGTACTACGTTAAGATATACATAGTTATACCCTATTCTGTTACATCGTGCTATGTCATAGTATAGTACAATTTATCAGTCCATATTGCACATGTTTACTGAATGCAAGATAAAAGTAAAATCACACTACGACTGATAAACGAATATGACAAGTTATGATACCAACATTAGCCTATACCCCACACGCAACATGTATATGTATGTATGTATATATATATATATAATATGTCATATTATATGTGTGTCATACGACACATGGTCGGCTTCAGGAGTCGACAGGAGTCTGGGCCAAGCTTCTGCAGGTGGCCTGCTAGGTTAGCTCGGGAAATCCTGAAGTTCTGGTGATGTTTGCAACCCCATGCAACCTTGGGATTAGGCTTTAGAAACTCGTGGCTTCAGGTATCTGTGGGTTTAGGGTTTGGGGTCAGGATGGCAAAGATCCTGCTGGGCTTGTCCTAAGAATGCTAGACTTTCGAAAGCTGCCTTGGAAACCCGACTATGACCAACGCCTCAAGAGGTGATTCTCTTCCTTTGGCATCGTTGGTGCAATTATAATATTCCCTGAAACCTTATTCAGATGATTAAGGCTCCTGATATAGGGGCCTTAATAATTAGAACAGGGTTTCTGTGCCCATTACACTATAAGTACAATGAGGAACCCCTTAAAATAGTAAGGTAAACTATTTAGGCCCCTATAGTACAATTTCATCATCCCCAAAATTTGCTGTGACCCCGGCTCCACACCATGGAGAACCACGTGGTCGTGCCCGCTGTGGCGTCTGAAGAAGGGCCTGCAGCTAGGAGTGCCGAAAGGGCGCCCGAAGACATGACTTTCCAAAACTCGAAATCTGACGGGCTTAGGGTGTAGGGTTTAGGGTTCATAGAACCCCGAAACAAGAGCTTGACAGAGCGATCTTGCTTGAAAGTTGCAGGAATGCCCGATAGTTCAGGCTCAGAACGGCTTTTTCAGAGCAATCCATGTCCTGGTCAAGCTCACTGGTTCGGGCTTGGGATCTTTGCCGTTTCCAAAGGGAACCGAATCAAAGCAGTCGGAATGCATGCTGCCTGAAAGTGGGTGCCTCCAAGTTGTACTGGTGCTCGCTCGATGCCTTTTTTCTGGGTGCCACCACCGAGCAAGTGAATCCACCATCTTCAATTTTTGCTGCATTCTCTGCAGTATCTCCGGCCGGGCAGATCACACCTTGGATAACGGGGGCCTTGTGTTGGTTATTGTGTGTTCGGCAACGAGCGAGCACGCTGCTTGCTCAGGTCGGCTCTGAGAGCTGCTTGAGTCTTGCTTTCTGTATCCATTGGCTTGCAGCCATGATTGAGCGAAGGAGTCACCTCAGATCCCGGTTTCCGCGCAGCGCGCGTCCTAGGGCGACGCGCACCGCGCAGCGCGACACCTCGCGAAAATAAAAATCGAGCGAGCACGCATTCTTTTAACAATTGGGTTTTCGAGCGAGCACGCAATATTCATCGAGAGGGGTGGAGTTATTGGCCTTTGCTGGGAGTTAGTAGAACATCGTGCTGGCTCAGGTTTTGTTCTCCGCGTGCGTTTCTCGCCGCGATTTTTTTCATCTGAGGGAGCATTGTCGAATGAGCGAGCACGTTGCTATGCGGGTGAGCACGTAGGGCCTGAGCGAGCACGTTCGCATCCGAGCGGGCATGTTCGTGCACCAGCATCACGGTTATTGTAGGACAAGTCTATAGTTCTGTAAAGGACAACGACTTTGCCTTCTACTCTCTCTTTGCAGCAGCCGACCCCAAGCCTCGTGCCGACCCCGACCCTGGGCCGTGAGCCAACCCCAATCCTTTCGTGGATAGTGGATTCGCGGGGCCAAGAAAAGAAGCATCGAGCGAGCACCACGACAAGTTGGAGGCACCCACTTTCAGGCAGCATGCATTCCGAGACCCTTGACCGAAGAACTTTAAATCCTTAGGGAGCCTTCCAGGAGGACGGGGAGGTCGCGGAAGCCTGAAGTTGTAAATGGGACAGGTTCGAAAGGTCAGTCAAAGCTATGATATGGGAGTTTCCGAAAATGAGGGGTACCTTATTTTGGGGTCCTTATAATAAGGATCCTACTATTTAGGGTATTGTATATGGGTCCCTCATTTCGGAAACTCCCATGTGTAACTTGTATACATAGAATACGAATTGTAATATCCAGCACCTAGTATGTCATGCACACTCGGGAATCACGGGGAGCAACTGGCGGGGAAGAATCAGCCGCGATGCAGCAAGGTATGCACGAAAATCTCAGCACATCCTAGAACCTAAGCCCCAAACCTTAGACTACACCCTCCAATCCCTAAATCCCGGCCCTTCACAAAGGACTGTCTTCCCTAAGTTTCAGCTTTCGGAGAGAGCCCCCCGTCCAAAGTGAAACCACATATTTCAGCTCATACATTCATCCTACCTAATGTAAGGCTAAGAGCTTGATTCGGGAAATCAAAAATACCAATCTTACTCATCCTACCGTTTCTTGCCCTTGCCTCTGTGTTGTTTGCGATTTTATAGCTCAGACTCCGTAATACTGAAGCCAGGTAAACAAATCACCATAATATAGGGATCTTAAAACTTAGAATAGTGTTGGGGGCATATGATACTATAATTAGAATAAGGACCCCCCCCCCCAAAAAAAAAAAAAAAAAAAAAAAACTGTATCATTTAGGCCCCCTATAGTACATCTGAGAGGAAACGGCAGGATCAAAGATCGAGGCTCCAGCTGGAGTCGCAGCATCGCAAAGGTCTCGGCTATACATTTCAGAGCCTGGCTTGGTCCGATACGATATACTATATGGGGGGTTCCGAAGATAGGGGACCCTAACACAGCACCCTACATAGTGGGATCCTTATTATAAGGACCCCAAATCAGGTACTCCCATATACTGACTCAATAATACTTACTCCATAGTCTGTACAATGCTATAGTAGCATTGCAAAGGCAAAAGTCACGGCTATGCATGTCAGGGACTAGCTTGCGTCCCCCCCGGTTCGGGTCTCGGCGGAAAGATTGCTGAGGGTCAGAGCTTGGGGGGGTTTAAGAGTTTCGGGCCTAAGGGAATATAGGAAGTTCTCATGAGGCACTGTTTCCAGCAAGGACGGAGAAGAAGAAGCTGATGATGATAATGCTGGTGATGGTGATGGTCAGAGTGATGGTGAAGGTGCGGATGAAGGTGACGATGACTATGGTGGTGATGCTGTCGTCGTTGCTGCTGGTGCTTGTGGCTGGTTCCTGATGCCCGGTGTCTGCTGACTGCTGTCTGCTGCCTGATGCTGCTGCTACCATTGGTGTTTTTCGATGCGGACATCGATATTGATGGCCACCTGGCTGCAATGATGGTGATCATGATGGTCACGAGGATAGAGATGATACTGATATGGCGATATCGGTGATGGCGATGGCGATGATGATGATGATGGTGATGATAATGACGGCGATGATAAAGATGATGGTGGTGATGATGATGTGATGATAGTGATGATGACGATGGCGATAATGAGGATGATTACTATTTTTACCGTGAAGTTGAAGATGATCTGGCTGAAGGTCAATAACTGTGAAGGTGAAGATGACATCAGGACGATGATGATGTTGATGATTATCATGATCATGGCAACGATAGGAGCTATGGAAACCATACCGAGGATAGCGCTAATTCTCGCGATTGTGATGGAATGACCAGGCATTGAAGACGACGATGATGACCAGGGCCATGATCAGGAACACGATCATGGCCACGACGATAACGACGATGATTAATGTTGTAGACCAGGTGGTAGTTGTGATGCAAAACTCAAAGTCCGCAACTCTGGCATGCCATGGACACTAAATTCCCTTGATGCGTTATCCGATCTTCGCAGCTTGGGACTGCTGCGGGTCTTGGAGTCTGGCTCGTCTTTGACATCGTTTGGTTGCAGCCAACTGAAGCCACTTACGGGAGACTGTTGCTGGAGCTTGACTCATGACTGAACCGATAGCGCAGATACTCTCGGGGCCTTAATAATTAGAATAGGGTTTGGGGGTATATTCTACAATTACTAATTGCATTAGGCACCACCAAAATAGTACAGGCAATAATTAAGGCCTCTATACTACTTGCATGCGGTCAACAACTCATTACGAAGCCCAACATAAGGATCCTTCAGGCATGAGCTTGTTAGAGAAAAATTACCGCTCAACAGCTGCAAACACTGGCAAGGGCTCCAGATGCCTAAATAGTACCTAACCATATAGTGCTATAACGCAGTAGCCTAAAATACTGTGGATGGACAATATTCTGCATGACCCAATATAAGGAATATACCATAGTTCCCATAGTTTAGGGTCCTTGAGGTCATGCAGGATTTATATCATCAACCCTAAACCCTAAAGACTAAAACCCTATAGATCCCTTACTATGGGTAACTGGACTGCCGCATGATGCTGTGGAAGAGCCCGGCTGGGGGCTCTTGGGGTCTAAGGTTTCGGGACACGCGCCTCCAGGGTGCTCATCCAGAAAAGGACGGAGAAGAAGGCTGGGATGTAAAAGAGATCGGCCTCCAGCACAGAGCTTTGAAAGATGATTTGCAGACATTGTGTCAGCTGGCCAGTGGTGGTACGATATGGCCCAAAGTTAGGTTCTCCTACTGGTGTGGGGGGGGGGGGGGGGGCATGCCTGCAATGTCCCCCAAGATAGCCTCCTCGGGCTTCAATGTCACTGCAAAGTTGCGACCACCCGCAATCAGCTGTTCGTGCCTCAGCGCGAAGAGCTTTTCACGGAGGCCGAGTGCTTCGAGGCTCTGGTTGCAAGGCAGGTTTGGGGTCATGTAGGGAGTTTCCGAAAATTGGGGGTACCTTATTTTGGGGCCCTTTTAATAAGGATCCTACTATTTAGGGTATTATATTAGGGTCCCCTATTTTCGGAAACTCCCATTTAGGGATTTCAGAAGTATCAGGTCGTCATCGCCCTCTGGAGGTATCAGACTCGCGAAGCTTCGAAGCTGACAGCTCTCCAGTCATCTCCTGGAACATCGCCCCCCCCCCGAGGCTACATTAATGTTGGGCTTAGACCCTTATCAGGTCATCTGACGAGGTCGATGCAGTCAGCTTCCCTCCTCATGTGCATAACCCGTCCCTCTCACACTCTAGCAGAAGAGTTCTTTGAGATTCGAACTTATGTCAGCTCGAACGAGAACCTGCAGAACTATACGCACCCATGGCACACTAGGGCGCTTACAGAATGAGGAACTGCCACCCCCGCCTTATGGCTGCACAGCTGCTCAATTCCTGGATGCTCTCTTATTCCTCCTGCACACGCCTGAGCAAGGAGCACTTGGACTCCGCAGGTGAACATCGCCGAACTCGCCGACCCGGCGATGAAACAACGCTTGACAGCCATCGGTAAAGCTCAAAGTAGTAGAGCCTTTTTGCAGGGAAACTTACTCTCTTATGTACGATGAAGCAAAACTAAGACTGACTAAATCCCAATTCGAACGAACGAAAAGCACTGTGGACTCGTCCGGCCCGTGCACGATCCAATTCCGATTGTAATGTACCCCAGGGACGACACGGTGGCTTGTCCATGTATCAGGATGATGATTGCTGGACTCAGGACATCAATATCCAAATTGGGTGGATCAGCGGCGGACAGAACCTAACATGCGTCGCAACATGAAAAGCATGTGTGCAGTACTATCTTTGGCGTCAGCTCGCTGAAAAAAGAGATGGAGCGCGGCCACTGCCCATCTCACCTCAAGCAGGTGAGGAAAGTATACCCTATACCATAAAACCTGTCTGGGTAGCAGCAGCCGTGAATAGCAGTAGCAGCAACACTTGCAGTACCAGCAGGAGGAATACAAACAGTAGGAGTAGTAGCGAAATTAATATCACAAGCAGCAGCAGGAGGAGGAGCAGGAAGAGCAGGAAGCAGAAGCGTATAAACTAGAACTAGTGTTAGTGTCAGCTGTTAGTGTTAGCAGTAATA